GTATCCGCCATGGCCATCGTCGTAGTACTCTCCTTGGTAATTATCGTGGTTATCGTAGTAACCGCCCTCTGCGGCATAAGGATTGTTTGCGTCGGCGTTATAGTAACCACTATGAACTATCAGTAATCATCTCAAATTGCAGATGGTATGCCATAAAAACTCACGATTCGTCGTAGTAGCCATCATTCCCGTTTCCGTTTGCATTTCCATTTCCACTTCCATGGTGTGGCTGCTGTTGCTGCTGACCCCCGTGGGCATCATAGCCATTGTCATAGTATTGACCATGCTGGTCGTCTTGGTAGTACGAATCGTGGTTTTGACCGTATCCGTCGTCGTAGTCGTGACGGCCACCGCTGCCGCCGCCGCCGCCACCTCCTTGGTAGCCCGACATCTTGGGAAATCAAGACTATGCGAAAGATGCGGTCTGAAGTAATAAGATATCAGCACCATGAAAAGCAGTTGTAAATACTTTCCACAAATATTATCTAATAATTCCTGCTGGATTACTTACAGACTAAGGACTCATCAGGGATGTTCTAAATGTAAGGGTAGAGGCTTGAATAAAGTCAAGCGATCGCAAGTTGTCGAGATTAAAATTATTAATTTGTTGTATCGAGTCAATGTGGCCGGCCACAAGCAGGAGTTGTCTTTGTGACAAATTTGGTAGTGAGTAGTGGCTGCGATTATTTGTTGACTCGCGAGGAAAGACGAGTGTATTTACTGCGGTGAGCCCCTGACGCGGGATGGCGCAGGTGTCAAAACTTGGAATTGGAAAAGTGAATGTTGACTTCCAAGGTTCCTGGCTACGCGGTAGGTCGGCACTAATAGTAGCACAGGCTAGTGCATTAATTAGCGCGATAAGCCCCTGATGGATGCCTAAGGATAAATCGAGGCGTGACAAAGGCGCGTTTGATTGGCGAATCCGATAAATTCCACCTCACAATTATCTCCCTTTGCTGAGTGGTTGGTGATTTCCGATGCACTTGCAACTCGTACGCTGAGTTGGCTGTATGATAAACGATTGGCAGTTATAGACGAGAGCAATATACTCTTGGTGTCCTTTAGAGTTTCCGTTTCTCGCGGGCCGTTAAACGAGCGTGCGTTGAATCAACGGACGGCGGGAGCGAAAGACAAAAGAAGGAATGACCAAGTAGTACCTGACAGTAACGAAAGGACGCTGCTCCCTCTAGGTTCTGTGCGTAAAGCGGAATCTCTATTATCTTTCTCTTTCCTATTCCTGTAGATCCTCGCGCTGCCCCCTGACGTTTTCTACGCAGAGTTGTAGCGGCAAGATGGTACAAAAAGATTGAAAGGAAGAAGAAAGAGAGTATGAGAAGATAAGAATTAGAAGTCAAAGGATGAAAGCGAGTGTAAAACAAGTTTTGTCAAGGGCAATGGGGGGAAAGGGGATTTTGGGACATGGAACTTGGGATCGAGAATCAAGAAAAATGTCAGAAAGGAGAAAAGAGCCAGGGGGGATCGGGCAAAGCTTAGCCCAGCCCACTCAGCGGTACCCGTGCATAGTATCGCCTAGTATCGCCCCTTAGCCAGGGTGTGCAACAGTACAATAGGTACGTACACTTAATTAGTGCAGACGGGATGTTCAAGGTCATGTTGCTAAGGTCGTGAATTGGTACCTATGTACCTATGGTACATGTGTTCGTTACATAATACACAGTGTTAATGGGTTAGGGCTGCTGGGCAGCAAGGTACCAACGTACTAGAATAGTTATTTCTTCGCCTACCGGTGCATCCGGTAGCCAGCCTTTACCAGCTTGCCAGCGTTACCAGCGTGCTTCACGAGAAGTTCTGGGTCAGCTATTCCTATCACAGTGCATATTCTAGACCAGATCGAGATTGAAACGGGGCATTTTCCTACCCGCAATGGAAAGGCGAGTGGAGGTTGGGATTGGACGTGGCTGTGTATGAAGTTACTATCTGGAGGCGAGGGTGTGGGGCACGTAAATGCAGTCGAGTTTCCTTCTAAAGCAAGGTATCGTGCTATTGATTACATTGATAGGTTAGGTTGCAATTTGTTAGAGAAGGACGTGAGAGGGCAAAGGACTGGTGGAGTTGGCAGTTGCCAAAACAAGCCGTCCTTGATTCATCATTAGCAGGATTTTAGCCCCTTATTGGTGGACTAGACCAGCCATGACAGGGGGGTTATTACATACAGTACATAGGAGTGGGCTTATTCCGACCTGTACTTCGTACCTGGTGCTACGTGTATGTAAAGAGGTAAAGAGGTACAGTGTTAAGGAAACTGTAACCTACAAGTACATACAGGTCCATGTACAAAACCACTTAAAGCCAGACTTGAATCTTTTTACTTTTTGGTTTGGGCTGCCATCTTGACAGAATCTTGTGTGTATGTCTAGTATATGTATGTAGCCATCACATTAAAATCAGAGTTTCAATTGTCATCTTGTCATCTTGTCATCTGGTGTTCTTTTTATGGATGCATGTTAAAGTTTACGCTCTACCATCCTTTAGGTACATATTTCATAAGGTCTCTTAAGTATGCTGCCCGCTCTAGTGTACCGAGCCGGCCGTTAGTCTTCTATTTTCAATCGGCTAGCAAAGTCTACACAGTGTTTCCGACACGAGCAGCTAATGCCGTACCATCCCTCCATCAGAATAGGTATCGTCCCACCTCTCCTTTTTACCTTATGCATTTCAATACATGTAGGTATTCTACACTACATAATAGCAACACGATTACAGCTCACCTATCGCCGGCAATGCCGTCGACAAAAACAGGTCTCGAGGATAAGTTAATTTATACCCTCGTTCGTTATCACGAAATTTTCCTTGTTTGTTATCTATAATACGCAGTTAAAAATAATATAGTGAAAGATCTGATGTCATATAAGCAATGTGCCACTACTTCGTATATTGGGTACAGCATACGGCTTCTAACAAATAAAAGCGCAATTCTACCTCGATATCTATAAGCAACTCATTCTCAATATGTAGAGGCAGCCCGGTGTTATCAATTATTACTATCAATTCTCGAACAAACATCGTATTCTGAATTCTCTTCGTAATTCTCTTCGTATTACATACATACATGCCGACGGTGTAACCCACCAACTTTTGCCACTGGCTCTTCTGTCTAACTACATATGTAGTCACCTATCCCTCTCTTGAATACGATCCAAGTTGGGAATTTGCATCGGTAGCAGTATACCATTACATACTAATGTAGTATGCAGGACACGTGCCAGCACAAACCTTGGTGGTGATGATGCTCTTCGGCAGTATTCAATTAAAGAGCCTGACGCGACTCTGACGCTCTAACCATTTCGCCGCTAACCTAGGGCTGCTAGGAAGAATCGGGTATGGAGAAAGGAGCACTCAACCGAAACGGCTTCGCAGTAAAAGGGGTGCGCCACAGAGTCCGAAGGAGCACCTCCACTACCTGCACCACCCAATGCTTACAAATGACCAACTACGCTATATGCAGGTACCGGCCGTTATTCCCTCTTCCGGCTATCGATGACGGAATGCTCAAATTACATACGTGTGCGTACGGTGTAATACCTACACGTAGTATAATTTATTATTTCTGCAAGAAGATAGGTATGCATGATGAGGAACTATCCACGCGTCTAGTTGGCAATGGCTGAGAAGAATAGTTCTTACTGGACAAGCTGAAGCTGATAGGCGTGCGGCACAAAGCCCTAGATACTAATACCGAAAGACTTGAAGACTATCCTTTTTTCGCTTCGATAGATTAGAAGTGCTTGCAGAGGAAAATCTGTAGATCGGCATGAATAAGCATGTGCTACGTACATAGAGATACGGATCATGCGCTAATACAAAAATACATATAAACAGTGTTATGAACAGTGTGGTAATTGTAGGAATAAACTAGCGAATTGGGTGGAAGATTTTCAATCAGCCGAGCGAACCAGAAAATGTTCTCTCGAGCTCGAAGTCAAGGAACCCCCTGAGAAGAAATAGGATTTATGTTGGTACATACATAGACATGTAGTAGGTAGCAGACTAGTAGCAAAATTAAACTTAATCCATACGCTTCTCGAACGTACAAATCTATTCTAAGCTACTCGTTAGGCGTGGGTCAATGTCGAGATCGGGCGATGGATGGTACATAGGATTCCTTTTTCAAATTTCAGGGGCAGAGGGCACCAACGCCAGCATCCTAATTGGCTACGCCTCTCGATACTTGAAGCCGCCAAAATTCATTATTTTTAGAGGACCCAGATCCGCGTCCAAGGTGAGCCAAGGTGCAAGGAAGGTAACTACATAGACTATGTACATAGGTAGGCAGCTCGACCAGCTTCGGAGTTATTTAGGTAGTCGACTTAGATCCGTCTGCGAGTGTGTGTTAAAGTCAATTGAGTCTCTACCTAAGCAGCGAAGTAAGCTTACAAAGCTATGAGTTACCCAGCAATGCTTGCTTCGACTTTACGAGTATTGACTAATAAGAGCTGCTTAAATGATGGAAAATTTATTTATTTGGAAGCCAATTAACAGATTACCCAAAGTATGGCTGAAACCAGTCAATTACACCGCGCTGTATGGAATATTTCATTTTACATTTCCAATCATAATCGTAAATGAGTTCCATTAGCCACTAATATACAGAGCAATGAGAGGAGGAAAGTTTAGACGACGAATTAATTTATAGTGAATTAACTGGATCATGAATTGAGTTCTCACCGCTGCACATATGAAGGTTCAATGTTGTATGCCTGAAATATTGGAGACAGTACGTACATACAGTGGACCTATCTGCACCTACTGTATCAGTGGGAACAGACTAACAGTAAAGAGCCAGCCTAGACCAGCACCCCGCGTTGCCTGGCAACCACAACCTATCATAACCTATCAAACTTAACCCTAAACCTTATTGATTCTACATGAGAAAGAAAAACGTTTCTACTATGGAGTAACCAACATAAGCCTAAACCATATATTCGTAATTACTAGTGATGCCGCGGCATGATATCATTAGGCAAGGCCGCACTGCAAATATGTTAGAAGGTAAATTAAGGGATAGTAACGAGGATGAATTCCCAGAGGTAGACGTGGTCGTCGGTCGGTATCATAAAGTACTAGGAAAGCCGGAGACAGACAGAAAAAGTACACAGACGACGGCAAAGTCAAATGCAGCAGTGAAATCGACACCTCTTCGACGACGGAAGCTAGGCCAGGGTCAGATTGTGGACGGATCCCTCTTAAAACCTTGGGATGACATCGCAACTGCCAAGGGAAAAGATAGCCGGACGTCAAAATCAAGAAGCTCTCGTGCTCCTATCCAAAGAGCAAACACCAAATCAGATGTATCCTCTGGAGATGCACCAAACCCATTGCCAGCCACGGCTCGGCAACCAGTGTATCGTACGATCTCGTCCAGCACCAAGCCGGTTCTATTGCCAAAAGAAAAGGAAATACCTAATCAAAAGAGTAGACGGAAAGATGGACATGAGGAAAACGAACAGGTTTCTCGGAAGCTAACCAAGAAATCAACACCTTCGGATGAGTCTGAAGAAGAATCAGATATAATACAGGAAATCATAGAGACAAGTGAAGAGGAAATTTCTGAGTTCGTCTCAATATCCGAATCCGAATCAGATACGTGGAACTCAGATTCAGAACATTCCTTGACACCACCCACGCGGCGCTCAACGAGTCCCACTACTCAATGGGCGAAGCCTCAGAGAACGTTGTTCAGGGACCCAGGCAAAAAGGCGGCACCCAGCAACAAACAACCCCAAGCAACCATCGTCAACCCAAGCAAACATTCACCCAAACAACGCGAGCCCAAGAAAAATATTCTTGACTACTTCAAACCATCCCAACCAGGAAACCTAGAAGACGACTTTCAGAAACTTCACATGTAAGCCACGCCAAAAGAGGTAGTTAATATTACTGCTATAGCGCAAACAATATTGATCAATACTAACCGTCCCGCTAGCTTCAACGAGGACTCCGATTCTGACGAGTCCTCGACTAAACCAGCTAAGAAACCTGTATTGGAGCCTACGACGCCCAATAGGACGCAGAAGACGCTGCCTGCGTCTCCCCTCAAGACAGCTAGGATCCCCGCATCGCCCTGGAAGCCCGAGCATAAGGAGTTCTGGGACCCAGAGGTGAACTTCGCCTGGATCGATGAGCACTCGCCGGAGAAGCCCAAGGCCGGTATGCCCGAGGAGGCGACCAAGGCGAAGAAGCAGGGTGCGCCGAAAACGGCTAAACGCAAGCCCGGCACGAGCCCAGCAAAGCAGCTCCGAGACGCGCGGCGTGCCTTCGATGCCTGCAAGGAGAACCTCGCACAAACCTTTCTCAGCGAATTGGATGAGCGCGTGACGAAGGGCCAGCTGTCACAGCTCACGCAGGAGACGGGAGGCTTGCAGATCACGTGGTCTAACTCCCTGCTCACGACGGCCGGACGCGCGCACTGGAAATGCAGAACGGTGTCTACGGCGACACGGCACGCCGACGGCACTAGTAGTCAGGGCGCCACCATGCGTCAGCACAACGCGTCCATCGAGCTGGCGTCCAAGGTCCTCGGCAACGAGGCGGACCTCTTGAATACGGTCGCGCACGAATTCTGCCACTTGGCCGTGTTCATACTCGGCGGCCCCAACACTGACCCTAACGCCGAACGTGGTATGGGCGAGAAGAAAAAGAAAGCAGCAGCCCACGGCCCCGAGTTCAAGGCTTGGGGCGCGCGGTGCGGAGCCATCTTCGGCGACCGCGGTATCCGGGTTACTACGAAGCATAGCTACGAGATTGAGTACAAGTACGTCTGGCGCTGCGGGGACTGTGGCATCGAGGTTAAGAGACACTCGAAGAGCGTGGATACGGAGCGCCAGCGGTGCGGTGGATGTCGTGGACGGCTGGTGCAGATTAAGCCTGTGCCGCGTGGCTCTGGTGCCGCCGTCAAAACTGGTGCCGGCGCGACGAGTACTCCGGGTAATAGCATCGATGCAGGTGGGATCGGGAGCGGGAAAGACAGTACCGCCGCCGCGACGACGATACCCAAGAAGAAGAGCGCATGGCAGGAGTTCATGACGAAAGAGACGCGCGTCCTGAGCCAGACAAACCCCGGGCTATCGTTCAAAGAGCGGATGGCGCTTATATCGATGCGATGGAAGGAGCTGCAGAAAGAAGAAAAGCAGAAGGAGGGCGGACGAGCAGTAAAGGAGCTGCAGGGTGCAGTCGAGGTCCTAACGATCGACGATGACGACGACGAAGAAGAAGAAGACAAACAACAGGAGCTGGAGGAAGGCAAGGCTCGGGGCACTTATGACATCTTCGCGTAGCGTAGCGCCGAAGTGACACGTTACAGACTGGGGGTGCGCGGCAGACGGGTATACGCTTGAGGGTTGTACGCGGACGGGTTCTGGCATGGCAGAATGTATCTATCTATCGGTCGATCGTTTAGGATAGACGAGGTGGGATACATGCCCCGTATCGTAGTAAGGGTAAGGGTAAGGGTACCTGTAAGGTTGGCTAGCGGTTGGATCGACTGTTTGTTTTGGATGGCTCAATAAGAATGAGAATTTGAGAGTCTATCTAAACACATATAATAGGGAAATCTCGAGAATCTTTTGATCATACGAACCTCGACACTCATAGTAAGGTATAGATTAGCACCCTACATAGGAGGTAGGTAGATAAATAGTAACGGTCACAGCCAAGACAGCCCTTAGTCCGTCTTCTTTAAAGCAACATCGCATCTATCTAACCCTAGTCGTAGGGTAATTGGGATACTATCTAGGCTACATAACTCCCTAGGTAGGTACCGAACGCGAGACTAAAACCCCTCCCTATCTACCTAAAGCAATGGTTCATATGTCATATCCATATCCATTTCTTTAACATTCCTACCGCCGAATATGCATGCTAGTCCTTCCCTATCCATAAGTACTCGTTCGTGATTCGTATCAAAGCCGAAGCCCAGAGAGGCTGCGGGACATGGACAAACAAAGGAAATGGCATCCATTGAAATTTCCCCTAGCAAAGTCTCGTCATGCTCTTCCCTTCTTGTGATTCCTACTCTTTCTAATTTAAACCCGGTTAGTCGCATGACAACGCTAGGTATTTCTACACTCCCGTTGGTAATGTAGTATATCCCATCACAAATCCCATTATTTCCCAACTTTTTTTTCGCCGCTTAGACCTCGTTGAAGAGACCCCAGTCCTTAACTTTGAAAGTCTCCCAGATCTTAGCGGCGTAATCGACGGCGTCGCCGATGAGCTTGCCCTGCTTGCCGAGCTGAAGGTCGACGTCATCCTCGTCGTACTCGCCGCGGATATGCGGTACGTTGATAGTGATAAGTAGGTCCGTCTTCTCGCGCTCTAGCCGTACCAGCGTCAAGATGATAGCCGTGAAGTCCGTCTTGCTGACCGGCCGCTGGGGCTTATCGTCCGTGTGCTTATCGGGCTTTTGCGTCGTGTGTGTTGCGATCAGCGTATAAGCGGGGATCTCGTCGCTGTTCGGAGTGCGATGGCGCGCGTTAGTCTTCGAATGGATTGTGGGGTGTCGGAAGGAAGGAAAAAATGAATGCGCAAGACTGGTTTTGGTATGATACGTACTCTAGGCGGGAGAACACAGTGGGTGTGGTATTCCAGACCTTGACGTTCTCGAGGTCTTCTCCAACAAGTTCCTCAAGGTGCGTGGTCAAGGCGCGACCGTCTATCTCTGGGCCGCTGCCCGGGCCGCCAACGCGCTCGTTGATATCGAAGATGATGCTGGTGAAGCCATCTTTGTCGATATATGCTTCTTGGTGGTCGGGAACTTGTCTTATAAGACTAATATACGGATAATCAGACGGTTAGTATTAGAATATATCTCGGGGATATAAGAGAGTATCTGCAAACGTACCTCACGTCGGCGAAGCTAGCTGGGAGGTCGCAGATGAGAGCTCCTCCGTATAGCGGGGTACTCTTGAAAGTCGTCATTGTGGAAGGTAGAAGAAGTAGGGTGTTGCGAAAAGAAGATTGATTTTGGATTTGAATATGGAATAATTAGATGGGGAGATTAGAGTTAGAGTACGTTACTCGGATTTGGTGGGACGTTAGCAATAGTTTAAATATTTGTTAAATCGTCCTTTCTCTGTACGATATATGCTAGTTATGTCCCTATGCCTTGCTGGTCTGCGACTGCCTGCGTACATACGTACATGCTGCATGGTACATGTGCTTGGTGGGGCGGCAGGATGGGCAGCAGATGATGTAACTTGCATCTTTGCGACACATACTTTTAGCGCCTTATTGGCCTTATTGGCCTACCTAAGGTTAGGATCCTAAGCCTAAATTGGTAACGGCCAATGAAGGCGAGCAATAGAGAGCAAGTTATCTCATCTTTCTTTCCTTGCCGTCAGTTCATCGCCAAGGTTATTTTTCTCGTACGACTCATCAAGAACTCTTTGCGCCTTCAACTTACATACATCTGGTGTCATTCTGTTGGATGCCTAGCGCAAATGCCTGGATGCTTGCACCTAATTTTTTTTTAAATGGTATAGTGTGTGTGACTCAGAGAAAATCATTATAGACGTTTCATATATGAGGTAGAACATATGAATATCAGCATTTATAAACTCTTATAGGCCCAACCAAGTTTTTAGTCAAGCTCGAATCCATTGTCTTCCTACGGAGCATTCGACATCCGGAGCATATAGCGACTCCCAATACGAATTCCAAGGAAATGACTATATAAAAAGAGAAATATGAGTCAGAAGCGATACATTAGAATTGCGGATATACATACCATCGCTTGATATAGCCGTCTATTTGACAGTTTATGAGTCAGGAAACGAGGGAAGGCGCTGTTCGAACAGAATGTTGGAATACCAACGCATTGGATATTTGGCTCTTCAGTGAATAAGTCTGTTAGCGGAATGACAGGCCCGAAACACGAGACAAGACTCATACTCCCGAAATAACGCTTAATATACCTATACGTTGCCCACGCCATAAGTCGACAATGTAAATGGTACTCAACTGGAAAAGTTCGCGTTACTCTAGAAACCTTTCATGGCTTTGGAAGACTTTTATACTTGGATAGCGAGCAACCGAAGGCTATTAAATTTGTATCAATATGCCACTATCTTTCAAATCCGGTAACTCCGAAGTCGACATTGATGAACCAAGGTCTTGGACATATAGCCGTCTTCTGTCAGTGGGATTCTGATGAGACTTGGGTTAATAATTTTGACGGTAAACCTATCAACTCGTGAAGCTAGTACCATTTGGCAGCCTTTTCGATTTGATCTAAAACCGTTGAAAGTCTCTAGATCTTAGTTTAAGAGTCAGTAACTAGCATACCTTAAAAAATACCAAATAGCGCAAATCAACACTTTATAATATGTTATATTCTATCTATAAGCTTAAGCCATGGGCTTAGTGAGAAGGTTTTCTTTATGTGAAACTAGGAGATGGGACGAGACGGGCTTGCTAAAGAGCTAGTTATTATTACTCGTAACCGGCTGCGAAATGTTTAAAATTCCTAGTTATAAATATCTATTAAATGCGACAACTGTTTAAATGCGATATTAATATAACCCGAGAGTTTTATATCGCTGAATAACTGGCTAATTAGTATAACTAACGAAATAAAAGTCTATAACTAATCATGATAACGAAGACTGGTGCGACTTTCCCTAGCCTTTGAGCAGTATCGTATAGTATGATACACGTTAGCTACACTATATAGTCTAAGTATTTAGGGGGAGTGGGAAGTTATATATGTATGATACGGGTAGTATGCACCGAGTCTCTATAGCCAGTCAATATACCCCAAAACACATGAAATCAAAGGATAGCAGCCAACTAAAGACACTTACAAAACCTAGCCTCTTCATAACCTCTTGCTACATTCCTCAAACATTAAGTTGCAAGCTTGAAGTTAACAATTATTGGGAAGCTCTCATTGACAGATTTTGACCATTTATAATGTTGCCATCGAGTATTCATAACTAGAATTGTCATGTACAGACCAGCAGGCAATCGCCAACCAGACGAGATCACACATATACACTCACACCCCCTCTTACTTTCATGAAATCAACCTCATTATCGATTCGGCCATTGAAGACTTGCCTGGCCTAATCTAACCATTCATTCCACCCTGCCCGTCATCCCAAGACCGCCTCACCGCTGGCAGCCTAGCTTGGTTCTTAGGCTTCCTTCTAGTTCCTTTCAATACCGATCCCACCAAATTCCTCCGTATAAATAATCGTACTCTGTCTTCCCTAGGGGTATCATCGGTAGTAATGAAAGTCTAGAATGCAAATAGATATATATGAAATGAAAACAAAAGAGGAGCATCTTTGGGTATATCGCGATCGACCACCCCACCCCCAATGCGCCGTAATTCAAGAATTTGACCGCAATAGTTAACAGCTCCAGTTATTAATGGTACTGGGGGTTGATTATTTAGGTCGCTTCCTTATGCATGTTTATCATAATTTTCCTTGTTGAATTTCCTTCAAGGTTTTCAGCCAGACCGCCTAAACGCGGGAAGCTAGGTCCCAAGATTTCGGGGATCGGCTGGACTCCTTTCGGACGGCCCAACCCTTAAGGGCTAGAAGGATAACTTCCCAGGCCATGATCAGACCGACTAATCCCATAGTAACGGTGTAAAAGAACATGGCGTCTAGGTCGTAGTGGATCATTCCCTCAACTGTGTCGTTGGCCTATTGCTCTTGTTAGCTCATGAAACCCGGTACAGTAACCGAGATACGACCTACGCTCGCCATGAAGATAGTACCCCCCGCAATGAGTCCAAACGCGGTAATAAGTTCAGTCGGAGGTCGAGATGGTAGGATCGAGCGCGGAGGCTTGAGATATACGAGCACGTATGTAAATCCTCGAGCAAAAGAAGCGCCAGTTAAAAGGTTGCCCCACTGCTTGTGAACCATGCTAGAAACCATGTTGTGCTGCGTGTGCGAGCTCATCATGATACCGAGAAGTAAGATCACGAGTGCCGGAATGGGATTAATGGAAAATTCGTACTCCCTTGGTGCCTGTAAAGCTTCACGTTCCTCATCACTGTACGCGTGGCTCGGATGCGAGAGAGCTGCATCGTACACCGTAGTATTCAGGAGTTCCCGAATCCGCGTCGACTCAATGAGCATAGCAAGCTGCATAACCGTGTTAGTTTCATCACGCATGCCGGCTAACACGATAATGACTTACCAGGCCACCTCCGATGAAGAGAACCGTAATGGAGATGTGCTCTAAATCCTGAGGGCTGAACTCCTTACCGGCATTGCCAAGATGCTCCAGGAAGATGTTGGTTGAACCGTAAGTGAAGATAAGGGCACCCTCGACGAATTCCGCAGTGGGCCTCCATTTCTGCGAGCTTTGTTTCGGACGGACATTCCATGCCTGTGTATTTTTTTTGTAAGCAATCATGTTGATCGGTTAATTGGGGACGGTGTTCGCTCCAACTTACCCAACCCAGCTCACCGAAACTTCCCGACCACCTTCCGAGAGTCAAAATGCCGTACCAGAAAAAGATGCCACCCTTGATCCAATGAGCTAAGCCGCTGAAAATACCGTGACCCTCCTAAATTGACCGGTTAGCTTACGAAGGCGTGACCCTAATAAATTCGCTCAGGTCAACTTACAAAGAATCGTCCGAATGTGATAACACCAGTGCACAGAGTAATGTAACCCAGAATGAGAATAGTACGATCGACGAAGTTGTAGGCAAACATCAAAACTTTCCATGCTCTGGTGGAAATCTTGCCGGCAAATCTGGCGATGATCGAGTTGGTCTTCTTTGAACCTAACACTTCCGCGGGCTTAAATTGAACATCTTCGAGATCGTCATAGTGGATTCGTCGGTCGCTCAACTCAATAGGGGATTCCTGACCCACTACAGTCGACAACGAGTTACTTCTCAAAGACTCGGTACTCGGCTCGGTGCCTTGCCCACTATCGTTAGAGTGGCGGTATGGGTGAGAGTATAGCGCATCGTTAATGCGTTGGTGCTCAGCCATAGCCTCCGTCGAAACCGGAATGAACGCCTGCTCTTCCTCCCTGCCGACTCCTTCTGTTCCTTTCCTGCCCACTACACCTGCGACGCGACCGACAAGGCTAATAAATACTTGCGCGCTGACTACCCAAGTGACTAACCAGCCAAGCTTGTGGTGCGCATTGTTGGGATATAGATCGGGCGTGTTCGCGTTGTAGGTAATACCTAGTACGATGCCGAGCGCGTTCGTGATGAGGAAGAGAAACTGGACGGGGAGCGTATACCGGGATCGCGCAATCGAGAACATGACAGCTAAAAGGAGCAGTTAGAATCATTATGAACCTGTCCTGAAATTGCTGAGATAGTCATACCTAGTGGCAGCATGATTACCCAACCGACGACCATTAGTGCGATATGCGTATATATTTCGACTACGTGCTCTGGATGCGAAAAATACGTGGGCGGGTACGATTCTGGATCTGGTTTTGGATCCTCTTTACTCATATCCATATCTATCGCGCCTTCGTCGCCGTGACCGTGGGCAAGAATCGTAGGAATAGCTCCTACTATGGCGACGAGCGCGAGCGCCTTGAGCGCAAACTGAGCTGTCGACCTCATATCGGTTTAAGTTGTTTGGAATATGTTGAACGGTAAAATTGAGCGGGTCAACCGGGAGACATATATGTATTTACATACCCCCGGCCGAGCTCTTGTCCTTAGTCGGGTTAACCCTTGAACGAACTGTACTTCGTACCCTAGCACGGTTAGAAATTGCGCTTCACTGACGTAGTCACTTTTATGAAAGCTGCGAGGGCGGGTGGAAGTAGGCAGTAAGGCTAACCTCAGCGGCTTTCTGTTTTGTTCACGGTAAGTACCTATAGCTTATATGTAGAAAGCTAGATCAGGAATACCAGGTATATAATCATTTAAAGACCGGGCGAAGTAGTGCTCGGTAGTGTCCGGAAGTATGCTACCTCATGTATGGGAGGATAAACGAGTCATATGGAGGAGGGGAAGGAAGGAAGGCTTTTCATAAACAGCATCTTGGTGGGAGGAAGTGGAAGGTGCACATCCTCCAGAATATATTTATTTTGTACCAAGACGGAAAACGGTGTCGGCGCCCTTTGTGCCCATGAGGTTGAATGTACGGTAGCCGGGTAGGTGGGTTATACATACAGGCATACCTACACTACGGGTAAGTACTACTTACGTACATGGGCTAGTAGAAATAGCAGTGATAGCTCTCTCATGAATACCTCTTACCGCGTGTAGTCTGAATGTACATACACTTTCCGTTCAATGTTGGTCATTGACAAAAAAAGGCCGGGCCCACCCGAACGTATTCTTCTTGTCATTTGTTCGCGCCATGTGTTTCTGATGAGCCATCGAGCGATAGCGTTAAAAAATAGCACGATGGTCCATCCGAAGTATCCGAAAAGAACCCAAGAACGGGCGGTATGGGATATTGACTGATTGATTGAGGCTGTCAAGGGCTTGAGGAAGCTCGCAGAATCGTACTGTGGATATCTTGGGGGCAGGAATGAGTCGTCCTTAACTAATACCCATGTCTAGTCTCATCAATGTAATGTAATCCATGTATGTACTTGCTGGTCGAAGGAATACATAAAAATATACATGCATACCTACATCATACCAAACGACAGCATCGGCCATTTGGAAGGTACCCACTTTCCGCTAGGTATGTACCTATGTACATATATATGCAGAGCGTCGATACCTCACGATTTCGACAGGGTTAGGTATTTTCGCACTTACATAGCCATGCGACATGACTTCCTTTACTAGAAGCTTCTCAACCAATGGTGAATAATAATTTCTGACCTATGGTCTGACCCGAATTATGAAAGGATCAATAAGTTTTTTTCTGACATGAAAGAGCGACTATCCGACGACCCCGCCATCCGCAATCGGACATAAAGTAGGCTCCCATATTCCTCTAGATCTAGATGTATTCCTCCGTGTCGCATATCTTTTAAGGTATAACTACGCCTAGCAATCCGCATTAGTTTTGTATAAAGTAAACAGTTTTAAATACTTCCTGGACTTCTCTCTAAACCTATCATAGTAAATATTTCGTGTTTTAAAAAAAACTTATAGGGTTGGTGATGTCTGTCAGAATATTTGTGCCAGAGGAACCTATGTAAGGCATGTATATCTGAGCTTAGAAATACTTTTTAATCTGATCATGTGTGGACTCGCTTACCTTTTCAGGCTGGCCGCGCAGGTTCGTGGATGACTTCTCAGCCTTTCGCGTTCTTGAGGAGCCGCGCTAACAGGGATCCTAGTTCGTCACTAGTGGAGTAACACAGTACATAGGTACTTGGGCGCAGGGATACTAAAAAAGCCGGCGTTAATGTATAACACCTCTGATAGCGCTTACGGATTATAGGTAGCATCTTCAAATGTTGTTTGTAGCTATAGCTATGCCGGTGCTCTAAGCTCTTCCATAAGCGTCATCGACCAGCCGTTACAACAGCATGACACGACGCTGGCATAACCTTGCGATCAGCTAAGGCTTACCATATTCCGTGCGCGAATTCATGTGTAGTGGTTAATAAATCCCTGGGAGAGAGCCGAGTCCGAATATCGATACAATTTCGACCCGTTTAACTCCGAGAAGGTGTTTCGCCGTCTAACAGTATCACTAGCAACGTCGGTCTATCGCTTGACTAGGGACCGACACCATCATGCACGAGAGTTGTCACACACCAATTGACGACCGTTTACATCGCAAATCCTTGAGTCTAAAGGTGAAGAGCGCATATGACAAGTCGTACGTACTAATGCGACGAGTCCGATACCCCTCGGATGATATCTATGACAGACATACCTAGTCTGGGGTAAGTAGTGAAATGGGAATCTCCATTAGCTAAGCCTCCGAGGGAAGATGGAGGGTAGCATTAAGCGATGGTGTAGTCACAAAGATATTAGGAAACTAATTTCGATGGGGGTTTGTCATTGAAGCTATTTCTAGACCGATACCGAGTACGAGCGAATATTCGACTACTATACTACCATACTACGTACCATGTAGTATGTCTTCGACCTGCAGCAATCCCACATGCCAACGAGACTATCCACAACCAGGTTCTGATACTTTTTGGTAGAACATGACATGACCTATGTATGTAGTGCATGTATGTAGAAACCCGCCAGTTCACTAATCACAACACCAACGTCGACTACTTGGCCAATGGATCTCGCTAGGACAGCGGTTCAATAAGATCGATCGATTATACTTTGCCAAGGCCTTGGGTGACGAAAGACAACACAGCCTAAAAATACCGAGAAATAACGATCGATGTGGCTGGCGCTAGCGGCATCGTGAACTCCCAATAACTCATTACTACATACTTCCCCGTCTTTCGCTCTTCGGAACACAAGTGTAAAGTCGACGCCGAATATCACGCATCCCAAATAGGAATTTCGGGTGCGAAAGGAGACTCGAGTCACGGTACAAATCGGGACTCCGAGTCCGAACAAGGGATGGATCCATCTTGTCTAGGGCGAAAATGGGTCATTACAGTGATTACACAGGATGGGGAACCCATCAAATCATGGCCATTTTCCATTACACCGCCTGACCGTAAGGCTGGATCGCTGTTGGTACCCATGCTTTTATGTATTACATACATCCGTGGCCCAATGCTCTCTCTTATTTACAGCGTATAGGAAGGGTGACTACTATTCCGCATAGCTTCAATTTGGTAAACTCCGCAGGTCCCGTCCCTTACTACGGAGCCTGATGGATGAGGCCGAATAGAATACGTACGTAGTAATAACGATGTACATACACAGGTAGGTATATAGGTATGTTCCTAACGGGCTTCAGCTTCGAATCATCAAAGCGAAGGAAGCGATTCTTGAGCGTCTCTGGAAATTTACTCCTAGCCCCAACTAATCGACTCCGAGAAGACTTGCTTATATCGATGCCATAACAGTTCTTGGCTGCCGGCTTTCCGAAAGCCGTAGCGTAACAACTTAACGCTATTCAAACGAGTCAGGATCGGCTTTCAAAATTGTATAATTCAATAAAAAAACCTCCTTGCATTCTACGTCTTACAAGACCCTGCTTTTACATGTCAATTAAATAAATAAATAAAAACCGCCTCGGCCTCTACGGCATGTATCTTGCCGTAAACCCCGAATAATGACGACAGATCGCCTGGGATCTCGTTGACGGTTCCCGACATGCTGGTACTACCCCATAATAGTGCTCGTGCCAGATCTATGAACCAGCGATGCGATACAAGATAAACTTTAGGCAGACACAAAACGCCTGCCTGATGTACAATACGTAGAGCAAGTACTTGATGCTGTGTACGCAGCTGTGTGTACGTATCACCGTGGCTATGCTGGGTAGTAAGCGTATGAGCACGAAATGCCCCTCTATCAGAACCGGACTTTATGTCCACTCATATCTGTTGAAACTTGAGTCTACCACCGGCATTTCAATAACGGTCCCCGCAGCTCACACCAATGTAGTCGATGTCACGACATGTCCCGTACGAAGCGTGGGCTGATAACTTCATAAACTCGACCGGTCCTTAAGACGCCACGCATCCCCATCCTCCAATATGACCCTGTCTTCATCCCGGAGCTTCCGCAGGATCTGGACTACACCATTTGCGGCGGGAACGTGGAGAGCTTCCGGCACGTCGCGGTATATAACTTTTACTAGGTCCATCGGAGTCCAGAGATGGCGGTCTTTCGCGGAACCCAAGGTTTGTAGTACCTGCTGCTCTCTCTGGTGCCTGTGAGATATATATTCAGCGATGGTAGCACTCGCCTGCGGCAGGACCGGGCCGTGTGCTGGATATGCGCGGCCTCCTACTAATTTTTCCATCTTCGCTAGACTCTTGAGGTAGGTTCCGAGATCTTCGAAGACGGATGTGCCCTGACCTAAAACATTGTCACCTGTGAATAGCGCGTCTTCTTCCTGCAAGACGAAGACCATGTGATCTACAGCGTGGCCCGGAGTATGAACAGCTGTCAAGGTAGCTCCTTCGACCTCAAATTTCTGACCTTCCGAAATATTCAGTTGACCTTCTGTAGGCTGGTTTTTGTAGATGGCTGTTTGTGGCGAGTGCTCTAATAGCTGGCCGATTCCTCCCGTGTGGTCGTGATGCCAATGAGTGAGAAGAGCACTTTGGATGGTGGCTTTCTCCTCTTCGAGAGTCCGCTTTAAGGCCGCAATCCACGAGGGTTTGCCCTCACCCGTATCAATTAATAACCTCTTGGGGCCGGTTCCGATTAGATACGTATTGGTGCCCTGAAGAGCGAATTTGCTCGGATTACCGCCGAGAATACGGATACAAGCGGGACTCAACCGCTCAATCTCCGGTATGTGAACAAGTTGAGAGGCCATGGTGGTTTTAGAAGGTATTCGGAATGCTTTCATACCACTGTTAAGCCAAATTATAGATAGTCAAGACTCAAAGGATAGCTTGTAATAAGCCAGCCACGTAAAAGGACGAATGCACCAAGTTGAGAGGGTAAATTATAGAGATTGATCTTGTATTATCTATTGACTGATAGTACGGATTAGTGGTAGATTATGATATCAGCGATGAGGACAGAATAAGGCGCAATTATGCCATGAGCTGCACGAGGTACCTGATAAGGTAGCAGGGTAGATGTACTTGGAGATAATTGAAATGCCGAGGTCCCAACGATATAAGGTTGCCTTATGTAGGTCATCACTTTCACTCAGGTACAGACTTTAATTTTAGGTTAGCATCGATGTTACTGATAGCGACATAACGGGAAGGGCTAATCCCCCATTTACCTATTTGTTCTGCTTCAGCGCTTGTCTACCTCAGGTAAGTACCTAACTTAGTAACCATGGCTAGCATAGCTGTTATGACCCCTGATCTTCCCGTTAGCGCGCCCGGATAAGCAAGATAAAAGTGTAAATCAGGTGCCGATAAGAATTTCTAGCATGTTACTTCAACTGTAATCTGTACCTATCTTGCGCCTGTTGAATGACGCTGCACGGCGTCTAGTTAATAATTATTTTCTGTACATGAGGTAGGTTTTGGTATCGTGCAAGCTTTTGGCAACAAATTGTCTAATAGCTACAAGCTAAGCTAAGCTAACTTCGTATCGTAGCTTCGAAAGCTTCGAAAGCTTTGTAAGTTTCTAAAGGGTTGTTTGCGTACCTAATTAATATATAACTAGAGCTAACTAATACTGGGGAGGCTGAAGTAAGAGGGAATCTTAGAAGTCGAAGCGAGCGCATCGCCAGTAGCTGAGCTGCATTTCCCATCTCTTGCAAAAGGCACATTCACCCCCCACGATCGAGCCATACTCATCCTTTTACACGAGCCTCGCTATAGTGTATTACACTCCTTAATTCGGGGCGACGGTCGTTAAATCGTTCGGTCGTTCGAGCCTTTCGTTATCGCAATTTTGCCCTTCTCATTTCCGACGCCGCCCGCCTCTTAATTGCACTCGACCGAATCCTCCTCCCTGCGCGGCTGTTATTACGCACATATTCGCCAATTCACTACAGAACTCCTTTCGTATACCTGTTATAAGTCTATTACAACCATAGGAGGAACCATGGCTGCGCGACCTACTACTCCGGCGTCCCCTAAAAATGTCAAGATCAACTCGCCCACCCCGGGGACGCCTTTGTTTGGCTGTGGTTAGTTATTTGCTTCCAAGCTTATGGGATATGATGTCCTGCTGTGATATATACTGAAGCTTTTCTAGAGCATGTTCAAATACTACTATCCAACAACCCAGACGTCCTAAACAACTCAATCCAATACTATAAGATGCTGCTGAGAGTCATCTTCGACGGCAACCCCCTGGTACCGCAGACTTCTAAGGGTCCAGATGGGCTGATAACTACGTCTTTAACCTCGAACTACCTCTGCTTGCAATGTTCTGTCATTGTTACCGAAGAAGAGCGTACGAAACATGCGAACAAAAAGAGCCATCGGTTTTGTAAGTCTTGGGTGAACATATGATATATCGAATCTCGGCTGACTGGCAACAGATGTCGACTCGAGAAGTGGCTCATTATACTGTCAGTTCTGCGAAGACTTTGTATGGGACCCAACCCTAGACGACCTTAGGGTAAGAAAGATAGGGACTGGTTCATTTTCAAGTACGTTGGCACGCCCTTCGATCCTTGTCATAAGCAATGGTCTAACATATTCAGGTCGTAAGAGAAAACATGAAGATATGTTTTCGGATGCTGTGAAAGATCCTTTAAAGGATGATCCCAGATACATATCCTCCAATACCACCATCGCATCATGTAGGGCAGACGGACTCCGAGGAATCTACAATGCCGGTGCGACATGTTACCAAAACGTTGTCTTGCAGAGTTTTCTTCACAATCCCCTACTGAGGAACTTCTACTTGAGCGACGGTCACCAGAGCAGCGATTGCCAAGTACCTCACTGCCTTAGCTGCGCCATGGACGATATGTTCCAAGACTTCTACGCCCTCGAAAACACTAACGGTTATACGGCGGCCAACATATTGTCCGGTTTTTGGATATCCGAAAAGAAGGCGTTTGAGAACCTAGTCACTACGAAGGAACAAGACGCGCATGAATTCTTTCAGTTCTTGGCCGAAGAGTTACACGAGAGGAACGGAGATGGCAAGAAGCCTGAAACTGGTAGCGAACATAGTTGCAATTGCATCATCCACCAGACTTTCTATGGCAAGCTCCAAAGCCAGACGACTTGCCAACATTGCGGCGGTGTTACCAACGCAATAGAGTCTTTCCTTGACCTAAGTTTGGGTCTGGAGAACCTGTCACAGAAGAGGGGCAAGAAGGCCCCCAAGACGGCTGCGTCACTAACATTGCAAGAATGTCTTGACGAGGAGTACATTAAATCCGACAAGTGCGAGTATCGGTGTAGGAACTGCAATTCATCGCAACAAGCGCGGAGAGATCACAGCATAAAGCTGCTACCGAATGTACTGTCTATACAGCTCAAGGTCAGTATCAGCCATCTTAAGTTTTTAGTAGAAACGCTAACATTGAAATATATAGAGGTTCGAGTTTAAACAGGGGAGCCGTGATCGTGTTGCATCGAAGATCAGCACGAAAGTACAGTTTCCGTTACAACTAAACATGCTTCCATATACCACACGTAGTCGAACGTCAGATTCTCGTGATAGTCAGGAACTAAGGCGATCATGTACATATGACCTATTGAGCGTCGTCGAGCATGTCGGAGAGATCGATACGGGTGAGTTGTATTCTGATACCTGTATAAGTTTCATCAAGCTGACCTAGACAGGTCACTACGTAACGTATTCTCGAGTTGGAGATCAAGTAAGTTTCCCAAAGCACTACAAAACTCGACAGGCAATACTAACATGCGTCCCAGTGGTTCTCGTTTAACGACCACAAAGTCGAGCTGGCCAAGAAATCCGACGTCCTGGGCAGCCAGGCTTATCTGCTATTCTACATCATCCGGTCGCTGGCGTAAAGGAGGCGGGGGTGGTGGTGGTTTCTCGTTGGTGGCAAACCAATCAATATACCGAAATGGAATTGGACGGCGGTGTTTTTGATGACGCATTTACACGGTTTGGGGCGCGATGAGCTTACGTTTTATTTTTCTCTCTTCTTTCGGCATTGTGTTTGTTGTGTTTGTTGTGTTTGAATAAGATAGAGAAACAGCGCATAGAGCGATAGGTACTATGACCACCTCTATTTCATGTTTTTGGCCTTTGGGCTGTTGATTGTTTGTTGAGTGATAGCGAGTATATTGCCGTTTTATTGACTAGGTTAGGCACTTAAATGAAAACAGCGAAATGGAGGCAATATCGTAAAAGTTGAATTGTGTCTATTGAATAGTTTCGCCCGACGGTTCTCTCACTCTATGGTGGCCCTGGTGTTTCCCTTGGGTTTATATTCGGACTTAGTCTATATCTCATCTTTTCCATCTCTTTACCCCCAAGCTCTTACCCTAGACTTTCTACAAAACATGACGTTGTGAGCGAGACACTCGGGTCACCGAGGGAACCCGAAAGTGATGGTATTTGTGAACGATATGATTATCATATAGCTATATTGTCAGAGAAGCTTAGTTGTGAAGTACGCATGTCGCTCAAACTAGGTAGTATTTACGCGCTTCTCCAAGAAAAATATAAGGATGAGAGGGAACATTGGTGAATAGACAAAAGTAGTTGGTTAAACTAACTACATTTTTAAGTATCAATCAATCTCTCATGCCTGTCTTCACTTCGCCCCCTTCTCGCCCTTAAAGCTCCAAGCGTCACACTCAAAGTTAGCATAGCAGTAGAACTCGTTACTAAGGCCGCGCGTATGCACCGGCTCGTACGTCGTGGTCTGCGCGCCGAGGGACCGGTATAGCTTCGTCACTAGCGTCTCCATGCGCTCGCCCGTGGTGATTATGAGCCGCGGGATTGACCGGGACATCCAGCGGATGGTTAGAGCCACTGTGGCGTGTGTGTGTTAGTTGGGAGTAGGGGGAGAAGAGGCAAGAAAGAGGATCTTGTATATGTATATATATAGGGAGAGAGAGAGGGAGAGAGAGAGAGAGAGAAGAGGTAAGTAAGGGGGAACACAAACTTTTGGTCTGGCAGTCCTCGCTGAGAAAAGGGGGGTCGCATATGATGCGATCGACGCCGCCTTTTAGTTCCGCGGGAAGCTTGATAGGGTGCAGGAAGTCGTAGAATATGAACTCTGGGAAGACGGAGAACCGCTGGTCGTACTCGAGGAGGATGACTTTCTTTGGTTTGGGGGTGTTGGCGTCTGCTGCGTTCTGAGAGGGGGGTATATTGAGGTTAGTGTTCTAAGTTAACTTCGGCGACTCTACCATATATAGGCTTGGAGAGCAAGGGGAAAGGAATATATATCTATATTGTGAAATAAGAAAGCCCTCGTGTTCCCCTTCTCCTAGCTACTAACTGACTGGATAGGAAAATATAATATAATAGAAGTTTGGGGTAGACATATTAGAAACTCACCAACAGATTCTTCAGCGCAATAAACACACTGGGCACCGACACCACAGCAACAACCTCGTCCTCGCGTATGCCATCTAGAAGCTGCTTCGCATACAGAATAGCCGTTTCATCCGAGTACTGCAACATATCGTTAGCCCTCCATTATCCATTTGCTTCTATCTCGTCTCCCCTCATCTTCCTAGCCAGCAATCCTCTCTTAAAAACTATACCCCCCAGACCGATCCAAAGGGTCTCGGAGCAAAGAATAAAAAAAAATCGAAATGCGTATAAGGACATACCCAAAACTGCGACTTATTCCAGTCCTCAGTAAACGCATCCATAGAAAGCGGCTGCGAGATAGCACGTTCGTCCTCAGCCACAGCCTTTAGTTTCTCAAACTTATCGACGTGTGCATCGCGCTCTCCGTAGAACTCCTGCAGCGCTTCGAGAGCGTGGGATGAGAGGGTTCTATAGACCGATTTAGTATGTCATTAACTGATAAATATAGGGAGGGTACGGAATATAGTGTGGAGGTTAAAAGCTATAGGTATACTATGGAGACGGGATAACTATGCGTAGCAGTCGAAAATATCATCTCGCAGCTCAAACTGGCTCACTTACATTTGTTCGTCGTCACTTTCGGCCATGTTGCGTCGACATTTATGAATTGATTTCAAAGGAAAAATAAATAAAAAAGAAAGAAAAAAATCCAGGTTAATAAGGAAGACCTGATTTGATTTTATTCTCGGTAGGTGTTGGCTTAGGAACAAGAAGTTGAGTTTTCGCCGAGCGCCAAAAAAGTTTAAAAATATTTAGGAGCAAATCTCAGTCGCAAACTCAAGACTACATACAGCAAATCACTCCTGGCGTTATAACATAATATTACCCTGCAAACTAGGAAGCACTTATAGTAAGTACTATTCGTAATTTTTAAATCAAGGAGAACTACTAGGTCTAGTATATATGTACAGCGCAATACGAGTGTCTCTTCCCATATTTGCACAGAAATGCCCCGTAAGTTATCCTTTATTGTTCGTCTAACACGTGCACGTACTTCCTGTCTTCCCGCTTCTCCTTCTCCGTCGCCGGTGGGAGATCATAGTACGCCGAGCTACGATATCCTTGCTGTTCAAATGGTTAATATACTATATACTCGTCTGGAATGGCTGCGATACTTACCAAGTAGTGGTATGTAAAGTTGCTAATATCGCCTGGCGTGATGCCTAGGTCGGCAAAAGTCTTAGCTGTAGGGTCGATCTTCTGGTCGATGAACTCCCTATCCACATCCTCTGCCGAGAGCACTGGCCACCATAATGCTTTATTGAGCAGATTGGCTACGGGCCTTAAGATGGCTTTGGGCACGTTGATATGCCTTCGCTTCTTGTAGATTTCTCGGTCGACTAATTCGGCAATTTCAGCAGTCGAGTAGTTCTTGGGTCCGTAAAGCTCGTAGGTCTGTCCTGCCGTGTTATCGTCATATAGCATAGCTTCCAGAGCTTGGCCCACATCAATCGACTATTAAAATTAGCGATTCGCTTAGCATTTTAGCTCGTCAATGATAGACATACGTGAACAGGCCAGTATCTCTCTTGCATGTTGTTTGACGTGAATAGGTTGGTGATGCTGGCTAACCGGTGGAGGAGGTTATCCTCAAACCCGAATACGGGCGCCGGCCGGACGATGGTAGTCTCCGGGAAGATGCTTCGGGCAACCTGCTCACCCCTTCCCTTGGTGGCGAAGAAGTCAGAGGGCGAGTTGGGATCGGCGTTATAAGACGAAACGTGGACGTAGCGGTCGACGTCGTATTTGGCAACGGCCTCGGCGATGCGCTCGGTGCCCTCAACGTGGACGTCCTCTAGGCTATAGTTCTTGGTAGGGTAATTCCGGCCAACGAGGTTATATACGATATCGGAGTGCCTGACGCTCGCTTCGATCGATTCGGTGTTGTATAGGTCGTACTCGATGAAGACGACGCGGCCCAGATCACCGGTAACCTTAAGGTGGCGCCTGGCCATCTCTTCTCGGAAGGGGATGACGACCTGACATCCTTGACGGGCTATGATATGACATTAGACACGACAGGAATCGCCCACTCCTCGTATTTTCGTATTTCCCGTACCTAATCGGTTGACGATATATCTTCCGAGCTGTCCCGTTGCGCCAAATACTGTCGCGGTATGACCTATATAAACCGTTAGGATCGGAAGAGTCGCGGTAGGTATTGTGTTGGCTGTTTACCTCCGATAGATGACCTATAGAATTAGGTTAGTATGGTAGTCATTAGCAGACGAGGAATCGGGGCGACTGACCTGCCACCTTGTACGCGGATGATGGGTTTGCCGGTGCGGGTGATTGTTATATCGGAAATGCGTCGGGCCTGGTTTATATTGTGGTTTAAATTCAAGGCCAGCTTTCGACTGGACCGCACGGCGGTCGGAAAGGAAGCCATCCTTGCTCGATACCGGGGGTGCAAGAATGACGCAGCCTTTCCAATTGCTAAAAGAGAGCTGGTGATGTTTGAAGCTTTTGGAATACTGGACTTCACTTGTTCTTAGTGGGGATCGAAGCTCTACATAAACGTTCAAGGTGTCAAGCCACATTCATTAATACGTCGAGTTTAGTCAGAGCTAATGCGCCTGGAGAGATTGGCTGGTAGGTTAGGTACCTACCTAGCTGAGAGAGTTGAGCCACAGATTAAATAAGCCAAGACTGGATATCTGATAACACTGGATCTGCTACTATGGTTATATGGGTATGTTTAACGAGTGGGCCAGGTATTGCGGCCCGTGCTGCACTTATTACAATATAGCGCGACCTTATATAAATATAGTTATATAAAATTTGCATTTGGCTTGATAAATTTAATGCGATAAAATATTAAGATTTTAGGCTATTTAAGGATTATTTTGATATATTTTTTTATTAAAAAATCTATTGATTTGGTTAAAAAATGGTAATATTTGATCTAAGTCTTTCGATGTACCTGCTTGTCCCGGACACAGCCACAGGTACCTGACCCACTCGTTAAACTTTGGCCTGTAACCATAGTAAGTCTAGGTACCTAGGTACAAAATACATGGATAATACAAAGGTACCTCCTTCCCGGACAGGCTGCACACCAGCCGCGTATTGATTGAAGCTTCAGAACAAGGTAGCTTCGAACTTCCACTTATACAACATTAACATCATAACCAAGCAAAACCAACACCACCAATTTCAACCCATTCTCACCTATACATAATTCCCGCAGAGTCTACATATAAAACACGGCCTAGAGAAATATCATGAACGTCGACACCATCGCCGATTTCCTGGCCGACCAGCGGGACGAGACCCCGGACGAGCTCCAATACCTCATCATCCAGTTCGAGAACTTCTGGGAGCGCAAGTTATGGCACCAACTTACCGACGCCCTGATCGAGTTCTTCGCCAACCCTAAGAGCGAACCCCAGCGCCTCAAGTTCTACAAGGTCTTCATATCAAAGTTTGCTGATAAGATCAACCAACTGAAGCTCGTCGACCTGGGCTTGAAGGCCGCTACCCAATGCAAAGGTGAATTACCTCATATCTCGTTCCAAATTTCATAATTCCATGTATTATGTATTATACATTACATCCGACTAACTGTAGTATATAGATGACCAAGAACGTCTCGCCTTCCTCTCCGACCTCGCCAAGAAGGTCGACCACGAGGACTCCCAAGACGCTTTCGTTTATGCCCTCGCCGCTGTCGCCCGTGTGGAGCTGAACCTGCGTGACCTCGAGGCCTCGCGCCGGGATCTGGACAAGGCTGAACGCATCCTTGACTCCTTTGACAGCGTAGAGACCAAGGTCCACGCTGCCTTCTACCAGGTCAACGCCGACTACTACCAAGCTAAGGCCGACTTCGCATCCTACTACCGCAACGCCCTCCTCTACCTCGCCTGCATCGACCTGTCCTCCCTCTCCCCCGACGAGCGCCGCGCTCGAGCCTACGACCTGGGCATCGCCGCCCTAGTCTCTGACTCCATCTACAACTTCGGCGAGCTGCTGCAACACCCTATCCTCGCCGCCCTAACTGGTGATGTTGCCTGGCTGCAGGAGTTACTACTAGCTTTCAACCGCGGCGACCTAGCTGCATACGACGTCTTGTCAGGCCACATATCCTCCGACCCGCTCCTAAAAGAACACCTCGAGAATATTCGCCAGAAGATCTACCTCGCGGCCTTAACCGAAAGCGTATTCCGCCGGCCCCCGCACCAGCGCGCTATGAGCTTCGACACCATATCCGCCGACACCAAGGTCCGCAAGGACGAGATCGAGCACTTGGTCATGAAGGCCCTCAGCCTGGGCTTAGTACGTGGCACCATCGACGAGGTCGACGAGCTGGTCAACTTCACCTGGGTGCAACCGCGTGTGCTCAGCATGGCGCAGATCGCCAGCATGAGCCAGCGCCTGGGCGAGTGGGGCGAGAACGTCAATAAGCTGGGTAACTGGATCGAAGCTACAGGGCAGGATATCTGGGCCCCTTGATTTGTCTATCTATCTGTCTAAAGCAAGAAGATTACCCACGAAAGAAAAAAAGAGGCAAGGACTTCGAGAGAAGGAATGTGAGCACAACGCCTTCTCTTGCATACGGGACGGCCTACGAGCCATGTATGATAGATAACTAATAGATGACCTGCGGTCCCGGCGAAAGGACTGGACGTATTGCTACATAACGTCCGAGTTTACGAAGATATGAATAGGGGTGTCTATCAAATGTGATAAGTGATGATTTACGATACTTATTAACCGTCTATACTGTGCATGACAGCATAGTAATCTTTGAGGATACTACTATGTTCCTTGATGTCCCTATTCTACTCCGTCTTTGGATTGTCCCGACTAACTAGACGCAGCTAGCTATATGTCCCCGTAATTAGAAGACATCATTATTAAGTCTACCTATCCGCCGTATTAAAGATATTGCAAGATAACCTCGGACTCCCGCCCCTAGGTACCTAATTCATAGGTATTACTTGAATGGTAATACGTATCCGCAATATTTCAAATGCAATGGCTATGATATCGGTGTACCTAGCTGTCTATATTTTTCTCTAGCAATGCCCGGTCCAGAACCTCCGGTATCGTGACGCCTTGCTGAATTCCGCCCGACTCTGAATACAATGTTCTCTACCTATCTCAATAGGGGACAGGTCAAATCCTTACACATTATGCCAGGTCAATAATCACAGCAAAACCACCCATGTAGCCAACAATCCCTTGCAATAAAATCAAGCATTTTTCTTCTCCTTTTCGTTCCCCGTACTCCTATCCCCGGCCTCCTTCGGCTGCCCAAGTACTATGATCTGGCCCACTAGCCACGCCGGCCACCAAACGCACCACACGACAAGCTGGGTATACATACCCCAGACATGCCAACCGAACGCCGCTTCCTCAAGCACGCTCTGAATACTTACACCGGCCAACGCGCTGCTTATGAGTAGGACGACGGGAGGGGCTAGGGCGTGGAGGAGGGCTGAGTGGACGTATCTGAATACCGCTGCGTTTACACCCTTCTCTGTATTTGTAGATGGAGAAGAAGATGCGGAGGGGGAAGGAGAGGAAGAGGGCCACGCGCGGGAAAACGACAACGGGCTAGATAGGACGCCGATGATAAAGGCGAGTGAGAAGTTGAGAGTTGCGAGGGACGAGAGGAACATTCCTAATAGTAATAGGGAGAACGATCGGATGAGTAGGTACTGCTGGGCCGTAGGCGGTTTGCGGATGCCATTTGTTAAGAAATAAGAGGCGAGATGTGGGAGGCCGGCATTGATGATCGCGAAGAGGATGAAGATTGGAGTGAGGAGCTGTTTTATGTGTTAGTTATTAGAATAAGGATGGTGTTGAGTATAGATAGGAGAAGTAAAAATCGAGGGAGGAGGATAGAAAGGAGACTTACACTAGAAGGCGTCTGGTTGAAGGCAAATAGTGGAATAACCCCTAGAAACTGACATCCCGCCACAAGAGTAAGTGGGAGAAGTATTTCTCGCTCAACCGGCACCGAAGTCGACTTCGCAACCTCCTTTACCTCCTTTACCCCTTCACTCTCTTTAGTCTCTCCTATCTCCGGCTTCTTCTCCTGCTCTTCCTTCGGCACATTAACCTCCCTGTACCCGCTCTTAACCCATAAAGCAATAGCCATAATAGTGAAATTCGCAGCGACCAGCATCGCACTAGGTAGATACGTGCCAATACTGACGAAGCGGTGCTTATGAATAAGTAAGTAAAAGAAGAAACTCTGATGCAGCTTCTCTAGCAGATTATTTAGACTTCGGAACAACCCTTCAACCAGTCGTCCAAGCCCCATCTCGTCATGCCAGCCATTGCCCACCGGCCTCAGCGTAACTGCATCGACGTGGTACGGAATAAAACTGCTATGAGGCCCCGTGGCATGTCCCAACGCCTGGTTGAGCATACCTCGGAGCACCGTAGCTAGATTATCGTCGTATTTCTGCGAGTGCTTTAATATCCCCTGTAGTGCGCTCCCCATGCCCATTTGTCCGCTCGCGATGTTAACGACCGAGTTGATCAAGTCCAGGTTTGGCAGCTGCCCGTTGACGCCGTCGTACGCGATGGCGATAGACTCGAAGCGCCCTTCTTGCGCGTAGTCCAGCGCGATGGCGCCCTGTAGCGCGCCAGACTTGATCGGCAATGGGGCCACTTGGGATGGGTCGTGAGCGTCGTGGTACGCATCTACCCAGGCCTGCATGCCAGCCCGGCTATCGGGCGGCACCACTAAGATGATATCCTTGGACCACAGCGACCAGCGCTTGAAGTACCGTGTCAGGGCCAAACCCAGTGCGAGACCATTGCGGTTGAACTCCTCTTCGACGTTCTTCCAGGCAGCAACAAGTACTATGGCTTCTGTAGCGTCCCCACGGGGTGCCTGTAGTATAGCGTACACGTTCTCTCCAACATACGTGTTCCCCGAAGAATGGTATGTATAATTCTGTCGCCCGACCTTAAGGCCAAGGCCCTTAAATATAGTCTCGAGCTCATCGTTGACTTGGGAATTGGTGCTGTTCTCTAGGGCGTTGATCTCGTGCTTGTAAGCGCGGAACACGTTCTGGTCGCTGCCGCCAAAGTAGGTATGTACCTGGCCAGGTAACAAGGCGTTTTCGCTGATATAAGTACGGCGCGAGTATTCGTCGAGAGGTAACACGAGTAGCCATACAACGCCGACGACAATGCATAGGAGGGACAGGTACGGCGGGAGCTTCAGCAACCGCGGATCGCGGCGCAGAGCCATTGCCGCAGCTATTTTTCACATTCAGTTAGCCAATTGCTTTAGTTTCAGTATGATAGCTCTATCAAGTGAAGCTGACTTACAGAGTAGACGCGGCATGGCTTCTCTAGTCTCCTAAAATGGACTATGCGCTGAGGAAAAGTTGGGAGTTGATGTGTAACAGCTTAAAGCTTAAAGCTACATTGAAACTGTAGCCATAATTCAATTAGGAAGTATAGGAAGGTACCCCAAGATCGCGTGTAACACGAGTCCCACCGTGACTTGACTTTCAGGGGTCCAGTCCTTAATTAAGCCGAAGTACCATAAAATGACATAATCAGCCTTACGGCCTATTTACCTACCTATTAGTTGCATATTATTTTACAGGTGCAATGATATATCATAAAGTGTTATTTACCTAGACCGGATGATTCCAGGTAGGATTCCTTCAACGTCCGAAATGGTCCTTCAGTAAATTATGAACAAGGATAAAAAAAGGTTATTTATTAACTGAACATATTTGGAGCTAGGAAGTTACAAGACGAAAAAGAATGAATATAACTAAACTAAAGACATCAAGACAAGAAGTCACATCAACTCACAAATATTACTCTCAAAGCATTCAGAAAAGTTTATAGCAGTATAGACAGCCAACCTCCTTATCCTGCAAACAAGTGCTATGGGGCGGATGAGTATACGGCCTTGCGATGCCAACAATGTTTTGCCTCCCAGAAACGCCAGTGTCATGCAATGTCAGAATGCCCAATTACCACGTGCTATATACAGGGTGGCATTTACTAAAGCCCTTCCCATCCTTCTCGGACACCTTTGGAACCCACACTAGGGACCTAATCGCTGCGTAGAGCCCATCAAGCCTAATGGCGTCATCTGCGTGGTTGAATTGCTGGTTGGTAAGACGCCGAACCTACCGTACGTCTTTTGGTCTACGCTGACGTAGTGCGGCAATCGTCCTAGCAGGTTTAGGCGAGCTTCGATCCATCGCAAAGCCTTCTCAGGAGGTGCGAGGAACTTGAGGTAGCCCAGGCCGACTAGAAAGAGGATACCATTAGTGAGATTATACCAAGATGAAGATGCCCAAGGTTCACCTACACAAATAACCCGTGCCCACGCCGCACAGATGACCAAAGAAACTAGTGTTGGGGATCAATGCCTCGACTACCAATACCATCACTAGAGGCGTGGTCCATGTCGGAACATGATGCGTTCCTATCACAAGATACGGGTTGGTCTTGTATGTTCGAATAGCCTCGATGCCTAACAGTAAAAACACCCAAATGCTGTCACGCCCATGTATCAGCATTAATCTTAACGACAAAGAGTGGGCTAGATATATACCTAGCTCCCATAACGGCAGTATTTCCTTTTACAATGAACTTCTCCCAAAAGATATAGACCAAAGCCGGGATCGTTGTTAAAGCTGCAGTACGTGTTAACTCAAGTTACACCCTAGTAAGAACTAGCAACACGATATGAACAAGCACACTCACGGCCAAAAAATAGTGCGAGAGAGGTCAAGGTTCCAAACTCGTTCTCGAACCTCTCTAGGAGCGGCGTTAAGGATAGGATGTTGAAGAGGGCGTGGAAGAAGTTAAGGTGTATCAACGGGAAGGTATTCACTCGGTACACTATATTGAAGTCGCATTAGTATATAAAGGAAAGCATACATTATAAGAGCAAAGGGAACTGACTAGTCGACAGAGTCAATTCGTTGGGAATTAAGGCGCCCCATTGTCGCACATCCCACGTAGATTGGATGGAGACAATCCAGAACGCCACCATAACAGCAATCATGGCGCGCGTGAATAACGGTAGACGGAACACATATGAGCGCGCTCTTAGAGTGCTGAAGCCCTGGATGGTAGGCATTATCGCGGTGTGTGGTCGAACCGAGCTAACCGTAGTGACGTTGGGAGTTCCGGTCTTACCACTTCTCACAGAGGCCCTAGCTGATTAATTGTACTCAGCAAAACAACACGCTTATGGGAAGGAGAAAATGGCGAGAAGCGTACAGGATGCGTCCTGTAAGGCTTAAAGCAGTTGTCTAACGCCAACTCGAATCGCCATTGAAAAAAAATATGGAGGCGAGTTGGAGAAGGACAAAGTTGAGTCGTGTGCTTTGCGGCCGGAAGTCGCAAACTAGGTACCTAAGGTACATACGTCTGCACCCGGTAGGCAGTTGCTAGCAGGGGTTTAGCAATAGCGCGGTTGCTTGAGGTAGCCTGTAGGGAAGATGACACGCTAGAAGGAACTGATCTTCAGCGCTATCTTATCAGTTTATTTTATAACTGCATATACTTGATAGATACAACCCCGATAACATTGTCAGATTCTTTAAGGGTAAGACGACCATTTTGCTTCGGATCGACTACCCAGATAGCAGTGGTCCAACAAAATAAAATCTCCTAAACTCGGAAATGGTATAAAACTCTCCAAGCGACTTTTGAGAGTAAGGTCATCTTGCTTCGGCAGCGTCGCAACAGTCTTCATGTCTTGAAGGAACGACCAATTTCGGATCGACTGGTGGTGATCAAGGCCATCACGTCCTTTGAAGTAGCTTCAATCCATGTTTCGTAGCTAATTAATATCATTAAGATAATCAATTATAACTAAAGGCGCGTTTAATTTTGGTGTTTTTTCTTCTCCTTTTTTGAGGCCAAATGTACATTTGTAGAGCCGGTGTCCCCGGCGCCCGAAGGTCCACTCCGGACCGAAAGTACGTTGTAAGGCCGGTACCGAGTTCCGTAATATAGGTACCATTGCAAGAACGATCCTATTCGCCAAAGACGGTAACCGCGAAGGTATCTAGTCCGTAGGAAAGAACGTTTACTTGGTTGCCTCGTAGCTAACAAAAGCAATTTGTTCTCTAAAAGGGGGCAGAGCACATGATTTCGATAATATATCAAGAAAGATCTTTTGCCGGAATCGGAGGAAGAATTAACGAGATCCATTGGTAATATTCAGTAGTTTATGGTCCAACAAATATACTAACTGGACCAGGAACACGTACTTAAAGAGAGGAAGCATATAGGCCTCCTACGTCTAGAAAATCCCTTATCAAACCCCAGCGCGTACGATATCAGACAATAGCTTGACCTGACTAGGATCTGACCTGACCTAGCTTGAGTAGATCGTAAATATTTTTGATTTGTCTAGCCATTACATAAACTGAGGGTATATGTATATATTTTTGATGTAACATGGCTCCCAGGCTAGTTCGAGGCTATGGCCAGCTAAACCTCGAAAGCTACCTGTATATTTAACCTGGTTTATAGTTGTGAAGATAAGGGAAAATACTTACCATTTATCCGCTGATCTTCTTTATAAAATGACTCGAGTGCCCATGGGATAGCCGCTAGAATTATTACGCTGCATATAGGTGGTAGGATCAAAACTACATTCGAGCTAGCGAATATTGGTTTTCTGCGATCTACTACACACCGATGAGCATTTATAACCAGATCAGGCTCATCCTCTAGTTATTCTGTATCAACAACTCCAAATTCTTGTGATGCGCTGTTTTTAGCGGAATATCTCGTTTGCCCTGCGGGCTATGAGTTGGAATTGGACGAGTTTGCTATTGCATTACTTTCTGCCCTATCCACTCGAACCTGCGGTATGTCTTGGTCATTCAGGAGTTGGCCTTCACCAACAGCATCGTTACTATGCTAAGCCTGATGGGCTGAACTGTATATCTCACTCTGATTCTGAGTTTCGTGGCCCTCGTCGACTGACTCATCGTCGGACTCGTTAATATCGAATTCGTGGAAGGCTGCGAAGGCAAGCCGCAGGGGACCGTCAACCTCTACTGCGAGGTAAACGGCTGGAACAAATATGGGATCGTCTTCATATGGACGGCCTTGTATGGAATCCTATTTGGTTGCAGCTGATCCAGGTGTGTATTAGGAATGTATAGTTCATTATATTCTTATATTATCCGAGGCAAGAAGAACCTATCGCAATAATTGTACGTTAGCAATACACCGGGCAACGCATTAGAGAGATCACGGGATGTTATTGGACGCTTCATCGGTGAAGATCCTAGCTCTAAACAGTTTTTTTCAGGCCATTCAAAAGTGGCTAAATACATGTCTTTACAAAGGTCATGAAAGTTGCCACATGAATCTATCTAATACTCAGCGTATCGATCTAGAAGATTCGCCGCTCCCAACACGCTGCATAGATGTCCGTGATGCCTTGTAGTATTCTCTGAAGGAGAGTCACGCAAGGAGAGCTACATCACGTTAAGTCATAGATGGACTGAAGAGACAAACAAAACACAGACGACCCGAGAAAACTACGATTTTAGAACAGATCTAGAGCATGGTATCGAAACTAGCAGCTTACCTCGGGTGTTTCAGGACACGATTGTAGTAGCACGAAAGTTGGGCATCATATACGTATGGATCGACTCTATATGTATTATCCAAGACGGACAGGACTTTCTAAAAGAGAAGGACAAAATGGCTCAGTATTACCAAAACTCGATATTTACCATAGCCGCTTGCGACACACATTCTGGGCTCTTAGAACACCGGCTTGCTCCTTCATTTAACAATATTGCAATGTTGCCCTATAGACGACGCGAAGATAGAACACCAAGCGGCGCTTTCTATATATTGAAGATGCCAACGGCCGAGAGGATGTTTTCAGACGGGGTCCAGAAGAGTGAGTTTTTCTCGAAAGTGGGTGTTCCAAGAGTGGTTGCTCAGTAGGCGTATCGTCTATTACACCCCAAGACAAGTTTTCCTCAAACGTCTGTCTTCTCACCCCCTGAACGAGAATGGAGACCCCGTGCCGCAAGGGAAGCATATATACAAATTTAGCAACAATAATACGTTGCGGGAATGGTATAATATCGCCTCGCTGTTTTCCGGGCGCCATGTGACAAGCCCCAATGACCAGTAAGGAACTTTCGAGTTATTTCCCCCCCTCCCCTTTCGTGCCCAGCATAATTGCTTAAGGTTACCGAAACGAGGATATTCATGGTGAGCTGCTAACGCTAGATGTTGCAGTGTGTGGGCTATATCAGGAATCGCCCTAGAGATACAACGGGCTCTAAGCCTTGAATATGCGTCAAATGAAGCCACTATTATCGATATTGAACTGGAAGACGGGTGTGAGATACTCCAATATATATCTGGGCTCTGGGTTAATGATCTTGCCTACGGTCTCATCTGGCAAAAGGCAACACGCAAGCGTCCTAAGGGAGTTATGATAACGCCTACGTGGTCATGGCAGTCAATACTGGGTAAAGTAGAATGGCCACCCAGGAAGCCTGACCTTAAGTCGGAGATTTCTATCAGCAAACTTGATTATGAGAATTACCAAGCGTTAGATAATCCGATAATTAGTAAGGGTAAATCACCAGACAGAGGATTGCCTAAGCTGCTCGGATTTGAGGTTTCCAAGAGTCCAGACTCAGAGCTGTTCTACCTCTCGAGTTTCCGATCCAGTGTCCGCTTTGATGCCAATAGTGTATGTGGGAGGATAACATTGCAGGCTAAGAAAGTCGAACTGGAAGTCACCGAGTTATTACTACCGCATCTCATAGAACAAGCCGCTATTGCTAGTTACTGGGATTGAAACCCCTAAGAATATCGAAGAGCTTCGATGGAGTGGCATACTTCTTTCTGATGGTAGTTCTGAAGAAGTCATTGGTTGGGGTAGATTTGAGCGTAGGGTGGACGAGCGGGAGAAGCTCTTTGCCATTCTAGTAGCATCCTACACTGAGAAGGACGGACTTGGGTTTGGATATGCCGGATTAACCCATCCGGTACTCCATGTGATATTCTGTAAAATGAGCAGACAAGGCGAGTACTGGCGTATGAGTATAGGGCGGGTCTTTGACAAAAATGCAGTCTTGAAATTCCAGGATACTCCAGCAGAAACAATCAGGTTAGTATGAAACAGGCGAAAATAATTATGACCGCGAAACTCCTCACCGAACAAGAAATTCCTATCCTTCCAGAGACTCCCGTTCACCTGGGGGAAGTGCTGACGGTGGTACGAGAGTTAAGAGGAAGGACGTCAGAGGGTCGGTACTCAATAAAAGTCGGCCTATTGTTGGTTCAGCAATAATCGGTCCACGGCGACTTCGTGACGTCTTCTCAAAAAATTGACAAGTTGTCCTATTGTCGTGCAGTGTAATATTTATGAAGAATCATAATAAAACTTCCGATAAGAAGATTTTCTATAGACTTTACATGAATTACTATCTGGAAATTTACCGTAAAGTTGTTGGCTCTAAGCCTCGTAGCCCCTTTTGATACCTGCCGCCGAGTATAAGTCCTCAACAACTTCACTACCCGTTAGGCGATGCTATAAAATATTAAAGAGAGCAAGTAGGCACGTGATTAAGTAAAACTATATATGGAGTACTTATAGGATCTACTGGAGGTTCAAAGTAGTAGAGATGTGGTGCTGAAATGGAGGAGTTTGGTAGGTAGTCTTCCAAAGACCGAAGAGTTACTATTCGATTTTAAAATATATAGGGATCTAGGTAAGTATATGGTAGTAAATTCAATAAAGAATCTATTGTAACAGTAGCAGTAGTCACGAAGCCTTATGAGGAATATAATTGCTCACCAAGTTGTAGCGAAACGTTGACTTATAAATGCACCGTGTTTTTGGATGACAACATGTACTTAGTACTGTGCTGCACTCTGATTGGTCCGGGTATTCTCCGGCAATTATAAGCCTTATAAAGTAAAATAACAACCCAAAACTTTAGGAGCGGGATTGCATAAAAGTACTTGACTCATGCCTTTTACCTGACTCAACCTTGTGCAACCCACAATGCTCCTTTCACTAATCTTTGGAAACAATATTCTGGAGTTCCCAGATTCAATTTTGTTTTGCCAGTCTATTTTTTTGTGCTTTTTTCGCGCTTACAATTCCCCAATTTCACATTTGAATACATGTCTTATGATATCTGATTTAAAGTTTGTTTTTGCGCGCTTGCATGCGCGATTAATATATAAGTATTTATTCGATTTTAATTTTTCGGTTTGCTTTTAACGAACAGTACTACTTATAAGGTCTCATGCAAATAATGCCTGGTTGTTTTCGATTGTTACAATTGTCGAAATAAAAATAAAAATTTCTTTCTATACGAGAATTGTATACTCGTAGCTGAGAAATAAAGAACGTAATGTTGCATGTCACAATAGCATCAATTGACTCCGATTACCGAAAATAGCCCGACGCGTACATACATAGTACATGGAAGTCGTGCTTTGTAGAACAAGGTGGGGTTAGCTGTTGTGCCCCTCTATGTGACGTCGGATCTGGTGTGATTGATATCTCTCGGCCTGTGAGCTTGTCTGCAATTTATCAGATCCGACGAGACCTTATATCTGGAACATCGAACCTAGCGAGCCATCAAGGTCCACGTCTCCGTACATATTCATATAATAAGTCCAAGTCACCTGTTAGTTAACATGGCCGGCTGCCTCTTCTGCAAGATCATCAAGGGTAGGTATTCAAAATTTCATCTTGGTGTTGATGATGTCTTGAATTCATATAACTACCACCAACATCTTCTCAGTTATATCTTCAAATCTTTCTGAAATGAAGCAAAGTATTAACAACAGATTGTAGGAGAAATCCCCTCTTTCAAGCTCTTCGAGAGCGACAGGACCTTTGCGTTCCTCGACATCAACCCTCTGAGCAAGGGCCATGCTGTAAGATGCCACCCTTCATCATATCCACCCTACAACTACCCAACGAATAAAGAAGACGATGTATATAAGACTAACAACACCCAGCTCGTCATCCCCAAGTTCCACGGCGCCAAGCTCACTGACATCCCCGACGACCAGCTGAGCGAGATCCTGCCCGTGGTCAAGAAGCTCGCCGCGGCAACCGGCGCCACCAACTATAACGTCCTGCAGAACAACGGCCGCATCGCCCACCAGGTTGTTGATCATGTGAGTTTTCTAATCCCTAGTATCTTGCCTAGTCTTCTTGCCCTTCTCGCGAAGAAGGGGGTAGATGAAAACAGTTTGAGGAGATAGGCGTGAGATGAAACTTGTAGCAGCGGACTAACCGTGAACATCCTCATTCTAGGTCCACTTTCACATGGTAAGAAATGCCCATGAGTAATCTATCTCTACACTCCACTAACACATCTCACGTCTCTTAGATCCCCAAGCCGAATGAGGAGCAAGGACTCGGAGTAGGCTGGCCCCAGCAGGCCACAGACATGGACGCGCTAAAGGCGCTTTGCGAGGAGATCAAAGCGAAGATGTGAGGGTGTTTCAAGAGGCTTTCCCCGAAGTAGCTATATATGTTAATGTATGGCTAAACGACTACTCGTCTAGTTGATAGACCTTCAACTCAAAAAGTTCACCCAAAAAAGAAGAAGAAATTACACATCCCCCGTCATTGCTTTCGGTAATATTGATGCCTAGTCTATGCTAATTACCCATTCCCGTGCCCTTGTTGATATACTCCATTCCTCTACGTGTACATTAGTTTTAATCGACATCATCAGCTGATGTTTCTACCGCTACCAACGTGGCCGTCGTCCCATTTGTGATCTTCGAAGGGTAATAGTCAAGGCTTCCGTCGGGCTTGATAACACCTATCCTGTCGAAGAAAGACCTTGACCTGATGTAGGGATCTAAGTGCCAATATTGTTCCCTTAGGCTCTTAGCAATCGTGTTCCGCTCCGAATAGATAGCCGCCCTCTTCGTAGCATCTGTTTCATTAATCCATTCGATCGTCTTGCTTTCGTAGTCTTCGTAGAGAGCCTCCCGCTCCTGCAGAAGCTTTTCTTTTGTCTCTAAATCCTTCATCTTGGCGTTCTCACCGGGCACTGGCTCTACGTATTTGTAGGTATAGCCAGATGTGCCTTCTAGTTCGTCGGGCAGTCTCTCCTTAGCAACAAACTCCTCTAAATCCTTGACTGTATTTGTGAAATGGACCTTGCCTGCAACTACGGGATCGAGCCACCCCCGAAGAATCTTCCAGATACCTATGTATTGGGTTAGGGTATGCATTCATAACTATAATGTGGGAGTTGGCAAACCTTGAAAGACCCACGGGGCCTTATGAACGAGAACAACACCGAGACTCTCGGGGTAATTAGCTTCAAAGCATTTTATCATAAACTTCACCGGAGTGTAATCCTAATAGGCGTTAGCTTGCCTCGTCTCAAATTTTAGTATTCCCCTTCAACTCACCATGTTAGCTAGGGAAAAGCCAGTCAAGTCGAAAACGACACACTAATAATGTTAGTTTCTAGGATATTCGGGATGCCTGGGATATACCACTAACAGCAGTATCAATAGGAGGGTGAAGCATAAACCGCGTCGTCTCGATCAAATAAACAGTAAAACGTTCCAGGCCTTCCTCAGACTGCTCGCCTGCTTTGTGTAGGCGAGCCCTAACAATGCAAATAGGCCTTCCCGCTTTATCAGTACCGTAGCAATAACTCTTTCCCATGCGCAGTTGAGCTAGAAAGTCTTGTGCTACTTTTTTTGCCTTTTCATCGCCAGTTTTCTCGTTGATGGAAGCAAGTTCTTCGCCGTTGGCCATAATTTCGTCGTCAACATGGGCTTCCGAACACCTCCAATTCATCGTCGACATCAGCATGACAAGAGCCCTTTGGAGGTCCCATTTCCTGGCCCTTAAGAACCGTAGTAAAAGAGCATCGGGATGGTCGTGCTTGACCATAGACCAGATCGTGGCTCTTATCTGCTCAGGGGCGTGCGTGGCTAAGGTATCGAGGTATGCCTTGTTCTCACCCCATTTATCTTCTGGGTCGTTTTCCTTGATGCCGTCCATGGCGGGGACCTTGGCAGGCGCTGCGCCATCCTTGCTCTTGTCCTTCTTTTTCTTAAAAATGGACATCCGACTCTTCTTAGTTTTTTCGGATCCCGCGGTGCCCGTCTTCCCCTGACTCTCTGAGGCGTTGTCCACCTCGCCGGAGGCTTCCTCGCCTAGAACGCCGCATACGTGCAAGAACATCTCCCAGAACTTGCGCAGCTTCTCATCTTCTTCGGGGGTCAAGTTCCCCGGCCTACCCGGAAGAGGTTCCATGTTTTTTACGGGTTCGCTGGAATGGTCTCCAGCAATGCCTTCAGATGTTGGTGATACTTTTAGATGAGAGGGTACTATACCGTAGAGTACGAAGGTGCTAAATATGAGCAAGGGTAAAAAATATAGCGCAGGTGAGATTTGGCTCTTTAAGCACCGTTCGCGTCTCTGCTCGTGTCTTGAAAATCCTCCCCTTTTTGGATGAGTTTTTACTTGATATGAGAGTGATGACAAACGAAAATTGCGATTATAAGTATGGCTCTTAGGATGTAGTAATAACGATCCGCGGGGCTGTGCAAAGTTTGATGACGGGCGAGTTAGAAGGAGGGCGGGGCTAGAGAATGCGCGTAAGACCTTTGGTGAAGGACGAAGTAAAAGAGACTGTTGTAAATGGAAGGTTTGATGAGTTGAGAGACTACTAGCAATAAAGTAGAGTCTCGGAACTGTGGAGAAGAGAAATGGTTGCGGTACAAGAGGCGCTGGTGTCTTCATAAGGTCTAAGATAGCGCAAGAAGTTGTCGCACAAATGCCAAATGTCCGACGGAGCCGAACTACCCTTTTTTGAATTGAGGCTGGCTGTCTTATTTCCTGGGGGGCGGGATCAGCCCCGTCGCAAAGTCCCCGGCTTGCTGACAAGGACCCGAAGACCCAAGAGATTGCTGTATGCTGCTGCCGTATCCCTTTGCTCAACCTGACGTATAGAAACCGAGTACGAGCTGCTGTACGAGTCCGGTCTACCCACCCAAGCTGCTAAATGTATGTAGGGTTGTATCGGATGCAGAATACGTATATTAAATAATTGATTTATGATGGTTGTTTTATATATGTCTCGGCTCTCAGACTCTAGGCGCATTCAACCTTAAAACCCGATGATACATGGCGAATAGCGATATCCAGAAAGAGGCGATCATTAAAGACGGGTAGAAAAAAGCATTTGCTTTTCTTCTGCTTAGTGCGCAGAAGATGTACATGTATGTAAGCTAGAGGGAACTAAGTACATCTATACCTAACCGACTAATTCAGGTAGCAAGAGCACAGATTTATACTATTACCTACCTCTAGGTATGTATGCGAATCTTTTTTTCTTTTTGAGATAAGCTGCTACTAGCCGCTGTGCATCAGCTCTTTCCGTCCCTTCCTTTCTAAATATTAGGTACAGTTTACGTCATGTTGGGGTTCAGGTACCACTTTATCCCAAGGGGCAGCATCTAAATAGAAGTTTAGCACGTGTCCAATACCTTGAACCTTAGGCCTTAACCCCACCATATCTTGAGCACCCTGGCAGCCTTAATTCGTCGTTGCCAAGCATTGAATTCTATCTTCCGAAGGGGGCAGTTACCTTTTCTTAATTTTGAAGGTACGAAATAACGCTTGGTCTAATTCAAACACCCACGATACATTAGACGTATTCAATCGAATAAGTACTTACTATTCTAATTCATCATCATCGTATATTCAATCGACTCAAACACCATGTCGGCAAACGAAGGTCACGATAGCGTGCGACGACCGCGCTCCACGTCGCGTTCGCGTCCGACAACTCCTCTCCGCCCCTCCTCCCGTTCCTCGTTCCGCGAGTCCGCTCAGCGCAGCGTCCAAGGCGGTGAACCCTTCCCGCTGAACGCCTTCGAACCCGCATTCGCCGAGTTTTCTGATGCTATGGCCGACCTAGAGGCGAACATGATGCACTTCCAGCTAATGCACGAAAGCCTCTCACGTTTCAGCGAGAGCTTCGCGAGCTTCATGTACGGACTGAACATGAATGCTTTCTGCGTCGACTTTGCCGAGGTAATAGATAATTCTACGTCTACAGAATCTAATAGCTGCTGATAAGTTATGGAATTACAGGGACCGATCCCCGAGTCATTCCGCAGGGCGAGGGTTAGAGAGGAGCAATCACCGGCACCAGCACCAGTCCGATCTCGAAGCATAGAGCGAGGCGAATTTGAGGGAGAAACGACATTCATGTATGTACATTTGGTACGAGGCCCTGGGCCAATACTGATTATCTCTAGGACTACGGACACCTCCTTCGTAGAGAACCCACCGACAGTCTCCAAGCCGACTCCTAAGAAGTTTGCGACGCCGGATGCTCGTCAATCCCGTGTTCCCCCTCCCTCAAGAGGCGGTACCCAGTCTAGAGGTAGAGGCGGAACGGGACGAGGTCGCACAAGTGGTCTCGTTAAACCGAGAGCTCGTGGCTTGAAATGAGCGAAGTCGATGACTTATCAAACCCTCGAGATTTGATTATTGGCCCTGATTTGGCCAGAAAATGCCTTAGCTAATATTGCAACGTATGGGCGCATTATATAAGACGCCCAACCTGTGCTCTATTGATGACACTCGCGAGTATGCCCGAAACGCCATAGATGCCTGTTTTGAGAAGTTTGCGCGGCGAGATTGAACCGTTCACGTTGACATGGTAATCTCGTTATCGGCGGCGCTCTCGGTTCGGTAGGGGCTTTGATTATCGGTTCTGAGACCAATAGCCGCCTCGGCCTCCTTCTGAGTATATGGCTCCTCGCGAAGCTGCTTGACTCTATATCCACTGTTAGTCTAGATACCTAATATGATATATGCTACTATCAAGTAAAACGTACCTTCTCTTATGAGGCTTTCCTTTCCTGTGTACAACAAGGTTGTCTTCAGTATCGTACCACTTGGCGCACTCTGTGCAGTACCATTTGCCTAGGGCAGGTAGATCTTCTGGCGCCTTTAAGTTCTTGAATTGGGCAAGATGTTTTGGCGAGAGGAGGTCGGCTTTGATCTGATCGAGGTCCCTCGTCTTGCGACGGGTCTTGGACAGCGTACGCTTGTTGGTGACACCCATGATAGGCAGCGATTCTTTCGATGGCAAATTCGATAAGGACTGTTACGTCTTGAAGAATCCAGCAGCTGTGGTAGTGGTAATTAATTTCACATGTATTAGGTAAGTTGAATTGAAGATTTCCTAGGCGTAGAAATTTTGGTGGGGTGAATATTTTTAGTCTAGTTTAGCAGTTTAGGAAGTGGCATTAGGTGGTCCGGGCGCAAACCCGTAATTGCAATTATGGTTTAACGTTCCGAGCCTCCGAATTTGATTCGGCCCCATCCATTTTACAGCGCCGGGCGAGCGGCATTACAGCGGCAGGTTATTAGTCAGGTCCATGCTGCAGCCATACAAAGTTCCTACCTATCAAAAGGCATGGGAAAATATTTAAACGGATTCAACCTTGGAGTACAGGAGTACAGGTGCACGGCTACACGGTATTATACACACAAGTTTCGGCTTAGCGACAAAGATATGTGGCATTAGCAATACCCTTATGCCGATGCGTCAAGTCGACAGCTCGGTGCCAAATATTCACCGAGGCAAAGTTGCCGTGGGGGTATGTCCCTTGTCCATTGATCCTAATGGTATCGCCGATTGGCCAATTCGGTCCCACCTGTTTGGTCTCCAGACTGAGCAAAATTTGTCTCAGCCTGTCGATTTTGGCCTGCAGACCTGTAAATGTGGACCTGCGTGCATTCGTGAAGCAATTCAGGGCTTTTACACTACGGCGTTACTTGGGCTACGACGAAGAGGTACCTGCGGTTATTTCCAAGGTACTTGTGCCCAGGAACGAGGTACATGTCTTTGATTCCTTTAGAATTAATTCAGCTTTCTCAAATGGCCCAAAACTGTATTATATTAGGATGCAGAACCAATTGTGTTTACAGCAATTTTGAATCTCAGTCCTAAGCCTCAGAGTTTTAAGATGCTGCTGCAAGGCTACCGTTAACTTGGAAGCTGTGCAACTAAAGGGGGCTGATTCGCGGGCCAATTACCCTCCAGGTCTTCAGAGGTGAGCAAGGATTAAGTAGAAACTAGGTCATAGATCGTCGAGCTTCCAATGAGGTTCGAGCTACAGGAAAACCAGAAAGTCGCACAGATTTGCATGTGCCTATCAATTTGACGAACTACTTTGACAGATTATATGCACTACTAACAATTGTGCTATTCGTAGGGACGACGTCAAATTGGATTTTCAAGTGTAAAGTCTGACCAATCCCATTGATCTGATTACACGATGTTTCTAAGTATCTAGGTACATATCGTGGCTGTTGTACATCCATTACACCATGCAAAGGAATTCGAGCTTGTGAAGCGATTCTAGGAACATTATTGACTAACAGCGTTGAAACTTGCAGCTAACCCAACTCATATCCAAGTCCGGCAATACCTTACATATACATGCCTCTCTTAGGCCGTTATACATGAAGAGTCTCCATCCAACCGCTTTCATCTATCTGCATTCCGCGCATTCTGTGAAAATTTCAGCTTTGTACAATACATGTACTTATCTAGGTATCCTAGCGTAGTTCTTCGTCCTATTGCCGAGCAAATGCCCCTCGTTTCCAAAAGCCACTCAAGTTGGGATAGATTTACTTAGATAAGTTAGTTTCTTGAAACTTTTGTAACAATGACGACGGTCTTATATAATAAGTATAAGTTAGAGATGACCGCACATGATGTAACTAGGAGATGAAGAACCTAGGTTAGCTTCATGATAACTACCTCTTTGTAATCAATGCACGTTCAAGCATCCATACATACATGTATGTATGTATGTACAATGTAGGCCATGCTTCCATCGTTATCGCATGTGGTGGCTGATTCTACAAGAAGCAGGGTGAGGTCACAGTTTTTGACCTGAAAGTAATCGGATTTGCTGTGATTCGTCCATTCAGCCGGGTGATACCATCAATAGTGGAGGTACCTCTTCGTCTTAGCCGAAGTACCCCGATACATCTAAATCCCTAGCAAGCCTAGCCAGTAGTGACCAGTAGGCTTTCGCAGCTTCCCTACCGTAGTACCGGGCGGCCAAAGGTAACATCTTTAATCGCAAACCACAAAAACTCTCCACCTTTTCCTCTTCTTTTCCGTCACAATCTTTTTTTTCCTTTCCTCCTAAAGAACCAATTCCTCCTTCTTCCTTCAGGTTCAAGAGGCCTATTGTCTCCCTGTTGATAATTTTCTCATCCTCCCACCTTCGCAGGAGTTGAATTCGGTCTAGATTGTGTCTTGCATCTGAACCCCTCACAGCTACCCTCAGGACCGCAGTTGTCAACATGTTGGCCACTCGACAGGTCCTGGGCAATGTTGCCCGATCGCGGGTCATGTCCAACATGAACCTGCGTAGGTGCATGGCCTCCGTGGCCGACTCGGCCTTGGACAAGAAGGTAAGCCAGCATCGATCGCAAAGCTTCAAAGCTTGCTCGAGGGGTGATCATGGAGGCTAATATTTCCCTCAAACTATAGGTCAGGCAAAACAACTGGGAAGAAGGCAACTTTATCAACTACAAGAAGATGTCTGAGAACTTGGCGATTGTTCGCAGCCGCTTGAACCGCCCTTTGACATACGGCGAGAAGGTTCTATACTCTCATCTTGACGACCCGCACGGACAGGACATCGAGCGAGGAGTGTCATACCTCAAACTGCGGCCCGATCGAGTCGCATGCCAGGATGCCACTGCTCAGATGGCTATCCTCCAGTTCATGTCTGCCGGCATGCCTTCCGTGGCGAACCCTACAACGGTACACTGTGATCACCTGATCGAGGCTCAAGTTGGTGGAGAGAAGGATCTCGAGCGAGCTATCAACATCAACAAGGAAGTATACGACTTCCTTTCTACAGCATGCGCCAAGTACAACATCGGCTTCTGGAGACCCGGCTCCGGTATCATCCACCAAATCATCCTCGAGAACTACGCCTTCCCCGGTGGTCTGCTGATCGGCACTGACTCTCACACGCCTAATGCCGGTGGTCTTGGTATGGCTGCTATTGGTGTTGGTGGTGCTGATGCTGTCGACGTCATGGCAAACCTACCTTGGGAGCTGAAGGCACCGAAATATATTGGTAAAGTCTATCCCAAAGCCTACAGTTACAAAAAGCTGACCTATATTAGGGATCAAACTCACAGGCGAGCTAAAGGGCTGGACTAGTCCCAAAGGTAAGTCGTAACTTCCTTACATTATCTTAACCATTCTAATGAGTCTATAGATATCATCCTCAAGGTAGCAGGCCTACTTACCGTAAAGGGCGGAACTGGGTTCATCGCTGAGTATCACGGGCCTGGTCTCAACAGCGTATCGGCTACAGGCTTAGGCACCGTCGCGAACATGGGGTTCGTTTTTTCAGCTTTTCTTTATTTTTCTTATTTTTTTCCGGCGTTCTAAGAATTCTTTTGAATTTCTTCGGATTTTTTCGAATTTGTTTTTCTTTGGGGTTTTTTATTATCTCTCCCCCCCTTCCTTCTCCCTTTTCTTCTTTCTCTCTTAACTCCACCTTTCGATCTATGAATTAGGCAAATGCTGACTTTCACAAAAGCGCTGAAATTGGTGCCACCACCTCCGTTTTCCCCTTTACCGACCGCATGTACGACTACCTAAAGGCTACTAAGCGAACTGAAATTGGTGACTTCGCTCGCTCTTATGCTAAGGAACTACGTGAGGACGAGGGTGCCGAATATGATCAATTCATCGAAATCAATCTCTCCGAACTCGAACCGCATATCAACGGTCCCTTTACACCTGATCTAGCAACCCCCATTTCTAAGTTTTCCGAGGCTGTCAAGGCCAATGGCTGGCCTGAGGAGCTCAAAGCTGGCCTCATTGGATCTTGCACAAACTCTTCCTACGAGGACATGTCTCGAGCTGCTTCTATCGCCCGGGATGCTCTTAACCATGGTCTGAAGGCTCAGTCTGCCTTTTTTGTTACTCCTGGTTCCGAACAGATCCGCGCCACCATTGCCCGTGATGGCCAACTTCAGACATTCGAGGAATTTGGCGGCATGGTGCTGGCCAACGCCTGTGGTCCTTGTATTGGCCAATGGGATCGACGGGACGTCAAGAAGGGCGAGGCCAACTCGATCCTATCCTCTTACAACCGTAACTTTACCGGCCGAAACGACGGAAATCCCGCGACTCATTCCTTCGTTACTTCTCCCGATCTAGTTGTTGCTTTGTCAATTGCTGGCAACTTACACTTCAACCCCCTAACCGACAAGCTGAAGGACAAGGACGGTAACGAGTTCCTGCTGGCTCCTCCCACCGGCGACGGTCTCCCCGCAAACGGATACGACCCTGGAAACAACACCTACCAGGCCCCCCCTGCTGACCGCTCTTGGGTCAATGTCCAAGTTTCTCCTTCTTCCGACCGTCTCCAGGTTCTACAGCCCTTCCCACCTTGGGATGGAAAAGATGCTCTGGACATGCCCATCTTGATCAAGGCGAAGGGAAAGACCACCACTGACCACATCTCTATGGCTGGCCCCTGGCTCAAGTACCGTGGACATCTTGACAACATCTCCAACAACATGTTGATTGGTGCTATCAACGAGGCCAACGGTGAGGCGAACAAGGTCAAGAACGCGACCACGGGAGAGTGGGATGCTGTCCCGGCTGTGGCCCGCGACTACAAGGCTAAGGGGATCAAATGGGTTGTCATTGGAGATTGGAACTATGGTGAGGGAAGCTCTCGGGAGCACGCTGCTTTGGAACCGCGACATCTTGGTGGCCTTGCCATCATTACTCGAAGCTTCGCTCGCATCCACGAAACCAACCTGAAGAAGCAGGGCATGCTTCCTCTTACGTTCGCGGACCCCGCCGACTACGACAGGATCAAGCCTGATGATAGGGTAAGTTATTTCCTTTTCTATGAACCATATCTACTTGTCGTAGTTCCATTAACTAATTCTTGCATGCAATCTAGATTGATCTCTTCTGCACAGAGCTAGCTGTCGGCAAACCTCTGACGATGAGGGTACATCCTAAGGACGGCAAGCCGTTCGATGTTAAGCTAAATCATACTTTTAATTCGGATCAGATCGAATGGTTCAAGAATGGAAGCGCGCTGAACACAATGGCTAAGAACGCGAAGAACGCGAAATGAAAGCTCTAAGGGATGATATAGAAAATCAAATCGATAATATGGGGGGATGCATGCAGGCGCATTGTGGGGAGGCCTGCTGGAATTACAGCACTCGGGGTGTATAGGAACTTGGGTTGGTTTTACGGATTCATGCTTTATGGGACTATTATATTTCTACCCCGTCATGATGTTTCTCCAGCCGGTTCTAGAATTTTTTATAGTTGTACAAAACGAACTCTGATGAAAGAATTAAGTCGTTACGCTGTTCCAGTTTCGTTCCGTGAAGCTCCCAAGATCTTAAAGGCTATTATACTGACTAGAACTATTATACTGATGATGCCTATTTACTATTGATGTCATCAGGCATGTAAGGGCTATAATATTGACTAGGTTTAATTGGAATCAACGTATTAAAGCAGGTACAATTGCTATACTATCAATCCAAAATCAGCTTATTAACAGAGCTATACTTAAGTCTACCCCACCGTATCTCGCTGGCACTTTAGGACATGCGCATTTACCGGTATAACAAGTCTTGCCGGTATGGCTATTATACCTGCCGTAGTACGTTAAATCCAGATAGACCTAGTCAGTATAGTATCCCCTGAAATCCTGAGATATCTCGGCTAACCTAGCGTTAGGATTTTAGATGAGACATCCAGAATGAAGGACACTGTCAGTATAGCTGTAGGCTCCCGTAGGCAGTTTATAGTTCCTTGCGGAATAACGAAGTTGTTTCCTTGCTTCTTGGTCCACCTCATGACACTTAGAAAGAGTAAGTGCCTCAGCATACCTTACATAAGGAAATAGCCCACCTTCCCACTGATAACAGTTGCATCTGCCCAAGTGTACTAAATGATGTACTTCGCTAGTGGTAGTCACGCATAATATAAAACAAGGGAAGGCGCAAGTCGGTCAACCTAAGTGCAGAATATTTCAAATTCAACATTTAAAACCTTCGACTAGGTAACAGAGAATCCTAGAATCCTACCACATACTCTCATCACTTTCATCCTTACATCCTTACATCACAACATCCTCCTCGTTCTCCAAAAAGTCCAACATTAAGTCTATATTAAATCGATTCAATATAACTAATTACAGCATTACACGCACGGGTTTTAAGACATGGCAAGGCAGAAGAAACCACAAAACTCCGCCACTGCTACCTTAGAGTGGATGGGCAAACAGAGCCCAGTATCAAAGCTCTAGGTAGATAATTCAAAAGACAATTACGACAAGACGGTTAAAGCCAAGACACTACCTACCTCTATTAAATACGAGACTATTAAATAAACGGTTCAAGTAACAGATCCTACTTCTGCCGACTACAATATACTCAGGAAGGCGGTTCCAGGAACGGGTTTCCCCTATCAACTACATATAAGACGCCAGACAAACAGTTGAGGGACTGGGCACATCTATCAGATATGAGGTAAAAGCTCCTAGACAGTGCACGAAATCGATTACTTATATTTGCTAACTATGTCACTACGAAGAGTTACCGGTATATAGTAGCGTCTCGAGGCAATACGCCGAGGCGATACAAATAAGGTGATAGCGGCTGGCGTCGGTGACCCTAATGATATAGTGTATGAGACAATTGGCGGTATCGTCAACTTACTTCAAAGACCTAGGTTAAATCAGTTTAAACCCCATTGATAAAGATGAGATTGGGTATAATTAGAATATGATAGCTTGTAAATGGGATCTGTTGACGATTTGGGTTATGAAATGTAAGATTAACTTGGAGCCAGGTTTTTTCTTTTTTTTTCTTTTCTTCTTCTTTGAGTATAGTATCGTCAAGATGGTAAAAGATATGACCGCCATTCGCAACGTAATGAAGAATATTAGCGAAACAAGATTGTAACGTAGTATAACGTAGTAACATGACACGTCAGTGATAATATCCAGCAAAACATTATAATTACACGGTAGTTCTATTTGACATTCTATCTCATACCCCCCAGAGCAAGAGCGACAAAACGCAGTGACCTTCAAGTCAACTGTCATGACATCAAAGCTCAACTTATCCTCTCCCGTAGACAAGTCTATTCCTCCTCCTCCAACTCCGCCAGCGGTATCCCCTGCGCCTTGAGGAACTCCACCGCATCATCCACACCCTTCGGGGCATTAATCCAGTGCCCCCCGTCCTCATACTCATGCCACTCGACATTCATACCGAAACTCTTAAGCCCAGTTCTCAACTGCCGGCCGTACTCGACAAAGACGAGCGAGTCGTCGGCGCAGTGGCCTAGGAACGCAGGCGTATTCCGCACTACGGTATCCGTCTTGGGCCACCCGTCCTCCATCCCTAGTACCTCGCGGGTTTCCTCCAGCGACCCGCCCGGAAACGGCAGCCAGCACGAGAACCCCATGATGCCGCAGAGCCGGGACTCCGATGCCGGCACCTCTTCCTCCCCTTTCTCCTGCAACGCCATAAGCTCGCCGTCGGCATTCTCGGCGCCACCGCCGTCGTCGAGGTGTAGTAGAGTGTGGAACACCGTGGCGCCGCCTTGACTAACGCCGGCTAGCACGACGTGGTCCATGCCGCCGACGGTGCGGGCCTCGCGCCGCACCAACCGCCGGATACTGGCGACGCTGCCGCGTAAGCCGAAGACTTGCATCTCTTCGGCGTCGGTCAGGTCCAGCATGTTGGACACGTCGAACCACTGCGGGCAGACCTCGCCGAGGGTTTCGGCGAGACGGGGCTCGGCTTCCTGGGGGGTGTTAGGAGCGGGAGCGGGAGCGGGAGCGGGAGTGGGTGCGGGTTAGCCCCTGAGACAATCCGGAGAGATTCTCGGGATATACGTCATTTAAAACCCCCGAGCGAACAAATACGAAATAACGGACGTACCGGAAAGACCCAGCGCACCGAGGGAAACTCATCCACCAGCGAGCGGCCGCGCGAATCCCTCGTCCACCGCGACAGCAGGGCATCGGCCATGTTCCGCGAGGTGTCGCCGCGGCCGTGCAAGAATATCACGGTGTGGGTGTGCTTATGCGGGGCCAGCGGCGAGATCACCGAGCACCCGAGCTCCATAATGTGTTCTTAGATTAGGTAGGTTAGGTTAGGTACCTAGTTAACCTAACGTAAAGGCGAGAAATATATAGTTAACGATAAAGGTTACCCTGACTGACCCTTAATTTTATACCTTACAACCAGGTTATACACTAGATACCTAAGGTAGGTATGTATGTAGGTATGTACTAAATGACTAACGGCGGCGGTGCGCGACACGATGGACGAAATGCTGTGCTGCTGCAGAGGAAAGTGAGAAAAGCTGGCATGTCTTGAGCCCGGTGGCGTAAGGTACATTACATAGGTACGCTGGGGAATGGATATATGGATATGGGTATGGATAGGGATATGGATATGGGGGCGAGTGGATGGATGATAGTTAGTGGACGGTAGGTAAATGGTGGATGTTTTTAGGACAATGGGGACGCGAAAGGGGCCGGGGTAGTAAGTATTTAGTGGACTGTGGTACTACATCTTAGTGAATCGAATCCACTACTGTCCAGTGGAGTTTTTTATGTATTTCAACCTCTTGGTGCGCCAAGCTGGATGGCCACAAAGAAGCGGCTGCGTATGCGTGATGTTATGCTGGTGAGATGCGAATTCAAATAAATCTGCTGACGGTTAGGTATCCAATACGATTAGCTGAAAATATGACTAGTCATCTTCAAAATGGGCATCTTCGGATATAAGCAGCCTAGGAGATTCGCCTCATGTTTTCTTAATACATATGATGGTAGATATTAGAAAAGAGGGTTTATGGTCCAATCCGATTTGGAAACACGCCACGGTTAATCAAACTTCAGGGTTTTGTCAAAAGACTCGATCAAGTCTAAATATCTATAGGTGCGCAAATATCTAAAATTTTATAATTCATCCTTCGTCCTCGTCTTTACATCAGGCTTCTCCTCGAGCGTCCTGCTCTTGGGGTTCCTTTCGTCACTACCAATAGTAAGCACCTTCTGGGTGTCGCCGTCTGTGACTAATCCTTTCCTCCGTCGATCTACGGCGGCGATCTCGTCGTCGTACACGGTCCATTCCGGAACTTGCCTCCTAGCTCGGTCGAGTTTCGGCTCTTTGGTCTGCGGATTGTTACATAGATCGATAGTTCGCGCTTCCTTCTGGCTCTCGTCGCTGCACCACGTCTCGCACCACAACCACTCTTGCGGCAGGCTGTGAATCGGGATCACGAACTGCATGTGGTTTGGCAGGTCCTGGTCGAGGTTAGAGAGGGAGCCCGGATCGGCCGATAGCTGATGGTAGTGCTGCCTGAGCCTGTCGCCCGCGGCTAGCTGCCTAAAGCGGCGAAGGTCGACCACGTAGAGGGCTGAGATGTGGTAAGGCTTCCCGCGGAGGTAATTCTTCCAGTAGCCTTGCTTCCAGAAGCGGAAGCCCTCCATCTCGGTCCGAGAATCGCACATTGGTGTAAAGCCGTAGGGCGCGCCCTGCAGGTCAAGATTGACAAGGTCTATCATATCCGTCCTGACGATCTGATCCGCGTCGACGAATATGACCTTATCGAGTGATAGGGGGAAGAGGACGTCCAGGAATAGGATCTTGTACCCCCAGATTTCGCGCTGCTTCTCTTTCTGCTGGCGGAGCCAGTGCGGCCACTTGTACGTAACCATCTCGTATTTGAAGCCGTACTCTTTAGCTAAGTGGGGTATGAATTCTTTGAAAGACGGAGACAGGAACTGCTCGATAAACCAGAACTTGACCGTGTGATTTGTATTCTTCATGACGGAGACCATCATGATGTTGAGCATGCGCTCGTATAGATGACCGCTCGCCACGGAGAAGATGTTGATCTCGGCGTGCTCTTCGTTCGAGACCGACTTGGGCTTGGGCTTTGTCCCGAGGATTCCTTCGGCAAACTTGAGACCGCGAGAGAGGAGATCGTCGCCGCCGTCCGAACTGCTTTCCTCGAGGACGTCTTCTAGCTCCATACCAGGCTTCCTTTCCAGCCGCGGGTATAGAGTCGTACCCTGGAAGTCCATGAGAGCAACTTCGGTACCTTCGTCACCGGGGACGGGATTATATCCCTTTGCGCCCACGCTGATGATATCGAAGATTTCCGAACTTCTTCCTTCCTTGAGGTGTATATTGTAATACCCAGGGCTGGCTTTGAACTGGAAGTAGCCAACGTTGGCCATGATGATCGTGTCGTCGAAATGGGAATCAAGCTCGGTGCCGAGCAATAGCTGAACACCACGCGGTGGACCGCCCGATACTTCTCGTGAGTGACCTTCGATAAGGATGTGCTCGAGTTCGTAGGTGGCTTCTACGTCAGTTTTGATGGAGCTCAACTTCACGTTATCCAAATCGTGAATTGAAACCTTCGCTGCTACTAGCCAAGCAGGTGGCACATCCATACCAAGGTTGAGAAGAGCTTCTGAAGGAAGTCCCTTGAACGTGGCACTCAGAGCGCTGACCTTTCCATCCTCGTCGAAAGATGGTGCCGAGTCTAAGACGTAGCGGTAGAATCTCTTGACTGGGAGCTCTTCAATTTTCTCTCTTGGGTTCAAGAAGATGCGCATGTAAACACCGTCTAGCTGGGATAGAACCTTGAGTATAGGGGCCCACTTCTGTCCTATCTCGCTGGCGGGGTTGATCATGGCAACGAAGTGAATATTAGCTCTGGACGCATCACCGACGTCGATCATCGTGTGAGTGGAGTTCCACGCATCGAATAGAGCCGTTCTTAGGGTCGGGGCGGATTCGAAAATCCCCTCGGGCAGGTCTGATATAGTGGATAGAGCGGTTACCGACGTAAGCTTCGCGGCAGTTAGAGGATGGGTGATCTTGTCCGCCAAACCTAGCGCGTCAACTGCCTTATACACCGGGAGTATTCTTGTTTCCTGCTCGAATTCAAGTAGTAGCTCGAAGTCATTCTCCGTAAATCCCGAGTCGTCAACGAATGGGCCGATTATACGACCGTTGAGGATGAGAAAATGTGCGCCTGGGGCGACGGCTGCGGCTGTTAGGAAACACGACAACGCTGCATTGTATCCGTCATCCTGCACGTCAGCCGGACCTGATAAGAGAACTTCTAGCGTCTCCAAATTTTCAACTTCTAAGAGTTTGTTAACGTCTTTCTTGAGCAGCGCGTTGATCTCGTGCGCGCTGCTCGATTTCTGAGCATTGTTGACAATATCAAGGCGCACTCCGGGGTTGTTACGCCGGAACGATAAGGCAGATAAAAGAAGACGGAGACCTTGTTGCGAGCTCAGATCGGCGACTACTGTCAGAGTAGCCCAGGTCTCCTTGCTCGTGTCCTCACCCGCTTCGATAACTGGAACTTGTTCGAACAGATCCTTGTGTTCGGAGTAGAGCTTATTTACGTCTAATACGATGAGAGTATTCTCGCCGTCGGGATAAATGTAGAGGTTGCGCCGAGTTGCTGCGCCCTCTAGGAAGAGCTGCGGAATCCATGTCTCGTCGTCGACTGCGCCCGTGAAGATTCCCTGTTGAACTAGTTGTAGGTCGGTACCCATCCTCATGCTCATGACTTGAAGCCAATTGTCTTCCCGTGGTATGGCCAGACCATTAAGAAACAGCGGAGGCACTTCGGTATTGGCGTTAAGTCGCTCTACCCAATGATTCGCAAGCTTGATTTGCTTGGTGTGGTCTTCTGATTCGAGAATATCCTTGAGCGAAAGGGGTGCGACTTCGTCCTTCGGAGCACGATTTTTAATTGCCTTGTCAAAGTGTGCCTGTTCAGATCGGTCCCCCGTACTGCAAGCCTCTAGATAAGACATGAGGCTGGATAAACCATAGTTCTCTAATAGATGATAAGCTACCTTCGCTCGCTCTTCGGCTGTTTTCGTTGGTGTCAACGGGACTAGTCCGAAACGGACGGGGAGAAGCCTTTTTATGAAAGTCTGCAGCTGCTCAACGACCAAGGACAGATCTTCTGGTTTGCTCAAGTCCACCGGAATGACGAGATTGAATATATCCTTACGGATCGGAGGAATTTGTCCAGGGTAAGTCCTTTGCATAAGCTAGAAATAGTTAGCCAGTTGTAGGATGATGTACCTCTTGGTTTGTTAGTACTTACAGCCATAAGACTCTTGGGATACTCGGCATATCGCTTATCCTTTTCGATATTGTTCAGCCAGATAATGACGCGGCCTTCTTCAATTTCGTCCCGCCAGTCAAACCTACGAGGCTCGTCGTCCGACTTGGCCGATGTTACTTCGCGATGGCCAAGTAGGGACACGGCCTCTTTCCCGCTTAACCCTAAACTTGTCACGCCCTCGATAAGTTTTCTTTCCCGTCGAATACTGTTGACGAGGGTGAACGGATCGATTTGTCGTTCGATCAGCTGGACGCCGTTCATCCAGAGGACATTCATCCCGGCAGGTACGCTCAGGGCACGATTCTGGCGATGCTCCTTAACGAAAGCATCTGAAGCGTTATGCGCGGCGACCGACGTAGAGAACTTCGGAAAGTCCTGAGTCAACTTGATCAATGTTTGAAAAGGGTCATCGCTTTGCATGATAAAAGAACCGGCTTTGAGACCTAACGATGCCAATTCAGAACTTGACAGCGGCTTTAGGTCTGTTACCTCCTCTTCTCCGTCGAGTACGACTTCGGTAGGTGCAGACTTGGCGGCCGAACCCGTCTCAGATTCAGCTTCGCGGTCGTCAATGACAATATAGTCTGTTCGCTTTAGCTGAAGCTCCACGCCGTACCCGCTGACCGGCAGCGGTTCTCTTTCCTCGGTTTGGTCAACGCGATATCTTAGCCGGTACGAAACGTCCCCTTTTCGGGCCATCTCGGATAGGGATTTATGGAAGGGCCCAAATTCAGGTTTAGTGATATCCGCGTATAGTATCACATCAGAACCTGCTCCTAAAGCGCGATCGAATGGAAGCGATCGTGTCTGCCTATATTCATGTAAGATACGGTCGAATAATATCAAGGTATGGTACATACGAGTCCCCTGAGATGTGGCCGTCGGCGTGCGCAAGCGAAGCTGAGCAGTACTGCTTCCCGCTCATGAGCACCCACTCGGCGCAGTCGGTCCTTGCTTTTCCTAGGGAGGGCGCTACGGCCGTATCGTAGTATTGATAATGAGCCTCTATCCTCGGAGCTGCTGACCTCATGGAGAGGGCAAGCTTGAAAGTAGACAATGCCTCTGAATTTTCCATGTGGCCATCTTGTTTTAAAACTTGGAGGAACTTCTCGTACAGTTCCTTGTCAGTCTTCGCATCCGCAAAGGTGCCATCGGCGATTCGATCGAGGAGTGGGAAGTAAGACGTTGCGTTCTCTCCGGCGGCAGTCTCTCTAAGTCACGTTTAGC